CGGTTCTCGTGTCTACACCTCAAGAAGTTGCGCTGCTGGATGTACGCAAGGAGATTGATTTTTGCCGAAAGGCGGGAATACGCGTGTTGGGTATTGTGGAGAATATGAGCGGGTTTGTGTGTCCTGGGTGTAAGCATGAAAGTCAGATTTTCAGGGCAAGCACGGGGGGCGCGGAGCGGTTGGCGAAAGATGAAGGGATTCCATATCTAGGTGCAGTGCCCCTCGATCCGCGGATTGGCATGGCGTGTGATTTTGGAGAGAGCTTTTTGACGGCGTACCCTGATAGTCCGGCGTGTAAAGCTATTCAGGAGGTGGTGAGGCGGGTGGGTCAGGAGATGGGGTTGAAGCCTGAGGATGTGTTGCCTGTGGAGGAAGAGGCAACATGAGGATAACCCAGATATGATAAACGTATAGTAGTTTAAACATGTCTAATCAAGCACATCAATGGCTTGCATGTTGTGTCGATCCGGGCCCAGCAGGCAGCAGTTGAACCGTGCAATGGACATCCCCGTATGTGTGTGTGTGTGTGTGTGGCGCTGACGAAACAGTTCACGCAAGCATGGATGATCGCTATTTCACCCAAAACACAAGCGTGTGTACCAACGTGGACGTGTAGGGTGGGAAATACAAACAACAGCCTCTGTGGTTGCGAATACATTTTTTTTAGGATAGAGCGTATGTTGCTCTGACTTTTACCTAGATATAGGCTCTTGAACTTAGTAAAGTAAATCAATTTACTTTTGTTTTCTTATTATTTTTCTTACCTACTCTTTTTTTCTTCTACCTTTAACTCTCTCTCTCTCTCTTAGGATTGTACATATATAAAAATATAAAGTTGAAAGATTTTTTTCTAAGAAGACCTTTTCTTTTTTTTTCTTAAGGTAAATTTATAACTTTAACGAGTTATGTTTTGGCGAAAAGTGAGGGCAACGTGGGTCTGCCCTACACACACACATTTCTCCCCTTGCAGCAAAGGGGTGGCTGACAGGATGAGATTACAAAGTGGGATCTTTGCCAGCCACACACACACACAAGCCACTCCAAGCTGCGTCATTTTGGGATAAGCGCCAGTGCATGGGGTGGCTGTGTAGTTTTCTTAGCGTGTCTGCAACTCGGGAAGCTTGCTTTGGCACCCGGGGGTCATGAGCTCATCGATGTCACCCTTTTTCCCGCGCGAACTTACTAGGACTTTTTGCGCTTGTGCTTCCCCGATTATCTAGTGTATAGCGAGTGAGGGAGGAGTCGCCAGAACAAAAGAGGTGTGTCCGCCTTGTCCGGATCAGCACGGCAAAAAATAAATAAAAATGGTCTGCCCTTTTTTTTTCGTCCTTGAACATATCTCGTAGACTTATGTATAGCGTATATATCTTGAAAGGCAAGATCCACACTAGAGCGCGATCCACCGCGGTTGCGGTTGCGGGCACCCTATTCACCTCTTTTTTTGTGGCTCGAGACTCGAACCAGGACTGTTCATCCCCACCCACCCCGGCTAGCGGCAGCGCATCCCTGACCCGTCCGTCTCTTGCTTGTGGCCCAGCAATCAACTGGCACAACACAACTTTCTGGTCTTTCGAGTGCTTAAGGCTTGCATACGTTTTTGGGGGCCCCCAGCCTCTCTCTCTCTTCTTCCTCCCTTTTCCTCGTTTACCATACGCGTTGTTTTGGACAGTCCACGCCATACAATACTGACGCCATACATACTTGCACTTTGTTTATTTACTAGTATTATTTTGCGAAGAGGAGAGGTCCACTTCCACCCCCGGAACTCAATTGGACTCTTGTTCTTGCGCAAAAGGCTTTCCGTGATATTTCCCCCTTGTGTCGCGCGCGCATTGCCCCTACCCATCTGCGCCCGACCTTTTGGCGGCTTACTAGAGTCTCTCAGCGCCATTCGCAATTGTGAGTTTGGCGCCTTTTCGCGGAATTCGAACCCCTCTTGCTGACTGACAGCCTCCAAGTGTAACGTCATAGTCTTTTCGACGCGCGTGGCGTGAGCATCTGTTTCTCGCCCTTTTATACGACTACGACTACTACGAGCCCTTTAGTCGCGACCATGGCGACCGAATACCAGCAACCTGCTTTCACGGCGTCCGCAGATGTCCAACCGCATACCGATCCCAGTGGTGTTCAAGGCATTGGCCAGGGTCCTCAGATTGTCAGCACCTCGGGTTCGCTGGATGTTGTACTCGGGCCGCTGCTGAACTATAGGCGCACCAGCAATCAGCAGGCGGGACAGCCTATATGGCACGGCAGTGTGCTGGTTGTGACCAAGCCGGGGCAGCAGGATGCAAACGGAGTACATCCGAGCCCGCAGCTTACGCTGTCACCCGCTGGTCCTGTAGACAGGTCGCTCGGCGATGTGCGGTTCAGCGTTGCAGAGAGGGTGTTTCACGGCCAAAAGTTGTATGAAGACTCCAAGAAGGCGTTTTGGCGCTTTCTCATCGACGCGCCCATGCAGCCGTTTGAGTCGAGGTGGAACTACGACATCCAGAGCCTCAAATATGTGGATGGCAGAAAGGAGGAGAAGCCCACGAGATTTGTGATTCCCTCCATCTCTCAGTCCATGCGCATCATGTTCCACTCTTGCAATGGGTTTAGTGTTGGAACCGACTTGGACGTTTGGCAGGGACCTGTGCTTTGGCATGATGTCCTGCGCATGCACGACCAGCGACCTTTCCACGTCATGATTGGTGGTGGTGACCAGATCTACAATGACGGAGTACGAGTAGATGGTCCACTGAAGCCCTGGACCGACATCTCCAATCCCCACAAGCGACGCGAATTCCCCTTTGACAGGCAGATGCGTGACGAGTGCGACGAGTACTACTACAATAACTATGTCCGGTGGTACGGCACGGCCCCCTTTTCCACTGCCAACAGCCAGATTCCTCAGGTGAACATCTGGGACGACCACGACATTATTGATGGATTTGGTTCCTACACCGATCACTTTATGAACTGCTCTGTTTTCCGCGGTATTGGAGGAGTCGCTCACAAGTACTATCTTTTGTTCCAGCACCATCTTGCTCCGCCACCGAGTACCTATACCACGGATGCTCCCCAGACGACGGCCGTACATGCTCAAGGAGAGAAGACGACGCCTGTAGATCATGCCCAGGTCCAGGATACGTTTGTAATGACCAACGATGAAGGCGACCCATCGTACATTATTGGCTCCAAGCCCGGTCCCTATGTCGAGGAACGAAGCCGCAACATTTACTGCCAGCTAGGTGCACGAATTGCCTTTGCTGGTATTGATGCCCGAACAGAGCGTACAAGGCACCAGGTTAACTACCCGGAGACGTACAAGCTGCTGTTTGATCGTTTAGATGCAGAGTTTACTGCCAACCCAGAGCTCAAGCACATGATCTTGCTGCTCGGTGTTCCCATCGCGTATCCCCGTTTGATTTGGCTTGAGAACATTTTGCAGTCGCCTCTGATTGCGCCTATCAAGTTTTTGAACAAGCGCTTCGGCTTTGCTGGCGGTTTCTTCAACCAGTTTGACGGCAAGGTTGATTTGCTTGACGATCTCGACGACCATTACACGGCCCGCCAGCACAAGGAGGAGCGCAGGCAGCTCATGCATAAGTTGCAGGCCTTTTCCCAAAAGTTCTCTGCCCGAGTCACCATTCTCGGAGGAGATGTTCATCTCGGAGCCATTGGTCGCTTCTACTCCAACGCCAAACAAGGACTTCGTGCCGAGGAGGACTGGCGCTACATGCCCAACATCATCAGTTCCGCCATCACCAACAAGCCCCCACCGCAAGCCGTGGCCAACCTTCTCGCTAAACGCAACAAGATCCACCATCTCGACAAGGAAACCGACGAGACTCTCCTCGAAATCTTCGACCGCGACCCGGCCCTCCCCGACGGCGTCGTCGCAAACGGTACAAACGGCACAAACGGCACCACCGACTCCAACGGCACCAAACTCGAATCCAAAACCTCCGACTCAAACCACGCCACAATGCCCTCCCGCAACTACGCCATCATCTGCGAATCCAGCATCCCGCCCGCTGCCACCTTATCCGCGCCCGGCCCCCAACCCGGCGCCGCACCCTCCGTGCACACAAACGGCGACGCAAAATCTACCATGAGTGAAGCCCCCGGCGCAAAAGATAACATGCGCCACCCCTTCCATCTTGGTGAGCATGGAGCAGGAACGCAACATCCAGCGGCAAATGGTGTCCAGTCGTCTGGTTTGTGCGGGCCGTATGGACTCGATGTTACGCTTAGGGTGGAGATTAGTAACAAGGATAGAGAGGGACGGACGGATGGGTATGGGTTTACGATTCCTGGGCTCGTGGTTAGTGAGGCTATGAAGACGAAGGGGAGGCATTGGTAGTAGTTGGTGTGTGTGTGATGGAAGAAAGGAGGAGTAATATGGGAGCAGAGGGAGATGTGTAAAGTGATTTTTTTTTCTTCGAATTTGCTGCTGCATTTGAGGTGGATAGTTACATACCCTTGGAAACTAGTGCGTTGTTTGATGTATGCTAATTGATGATGTTTTGTTTTTATTTGTTTTCCTGATAGGAATGGTAATGCGATGTTGGCGATATGTTTATTACTAAGCTCTCATTTGACATGTGATTGACGTCTTGACACTTCCTGGAAACAAGAATCAAATAACTCACTTTTTTTTCTTTCAAAGTCATGTTCTAAGCTTAAATTCATGATTTCATCTTTTGTTTGCTCGCTACAGAGCAAAATGCTGCGTACGCATACATATGTATATATACATGGTTCTGTATTTGTTTAGAAGTTTTGCGTTTGAAAAAAAAAACATGAGGATCCCCCACCTTGCTTGGAAAGAGAAAGAATGGGAGGGGGGGATAACGCCTTCATCTCGACATGGTCCGTCTGCCTTGTTGAAAAGAAAAAGAAAAAGAATGATCAAGAAAGAAAGAAAGAGATATGCACGATATAAACACCCGGAAAAAAACCCTCGATCCCAAAAAACAACAACAACATAACAGTCAGAAGAGATGAAAGAAAACAGCTTACCACGAAAAGGAATGTCTCAACCCGCCCTCCTCTCCTCCCCCAGCCTTCCTCAACGCCGCAAAAAGCGCAAGCAATTGCGCCGCCTCCATGGCACCGGCCTCTTGCCAAAAAGTCGAAGACCCCGTCTGCTGCATGGCGAGTTCATAGCACGTCTCGAGCAGCGCATTCGTCTGCTCAGGCGCGTCCCTAATCCTCACCTTCATGGCAATCGCCATAGCGAGAAAGACATGGAACCTCGCCATGGCCATGCTAACCGAGAGCTCTACAGCCGACGACGGTTGAGCATTGGGATAGACGGCTTCGCAGAATCTCGCAAAGAGTAAAGGGGAGAGGGAGTAGGCCTTGTAGTCTAGCGACTCAAGGTGGCGGATGAATTCGTTGGTGAGGGTTTCGGCTTCGAAGCGCGAAGGGAGGGGCGTGGTAGCGAGGGCGCGGCTGCGGTCTGTGTAGCTTGAGCGCGAGGATGCTGGGCCGGGGGATTCGGCGCGGCGGGCGGCGAAGATGCCTTGGCGGGGGAGACGCGGGACCGGGGCGAGGGGAAGGAGGTCGTCGTCGATTTCAGGGATGGGAGACATGGTTTGGTCGGTGCTTCCGGCCGAGAGGGAGGATGTGGATGTTTTGCGGGAGTGGGCTGGGCGGGACAGGGGAGCATTGTTGGTTGGGGGGTGGAGTTGGGAAGGGGGTAGATGCGGGTGTGCCATGAATTCCCAAGAAGGGGCTATGTGCATTTCTCCCGAGGGTAAGGGGGAGGTTGTTGTTGGGAGTTTGCCGGAAGAGGAGTAGGAGGAGGGGGTGGTGTAGTTGGAGAGGCTGCTGGCCGAGGGTGGTGGTGGCGGCCCCGAGGGCATGGAGTCGGGAGACGAGGCACGCGTGGTACCTAACCATAATGAAGGTACTGGTGAAGACGGCGAGGAAAAGTTGGGGAAAGGCTCACATTCGTCTATGGCGATTGAGGGCATGCTGCCGCTGCGCGCGGAGAAGGCGCCCAGGTCCAGGTCGTCGGCGGTGAATGTCGCGGGGATGCTGGTGTCGAGGTTCAGGTGGGATCCGGTGCTGCTGCCACCCCCGACAGACCAGTCGAATGAGGTTGGGGTGCTGGCCATGAGGTTCTGGTCAATTGACTCCATGCCGTGCATGGGGGCGTTGACATGGCGGGCTAGTTGGGCTTCAAGTTGATGTATTCGTCCTTCTAGCGCCTCTCGATGTTCACTTTATTTGTTTAAGACAAGGGTCAGCTTATTATCACGCCATTTGGTTCGTTGACAGCATCCGTCTTCCTTTTTTTTATGGGGGAACATGTGGGGTAGACTGACGATGCCACAACCTCTTTAGGTTTCTGCGTTCTTATACACTGCACTGCAAAGCGCTTACACGTTGCGCATGGAGTCTCGCCGTCGCAACGAATCTTCCTCCTTCGGCAGCGCTCGCAGGCATTGGAGACAGATTTTCTCCTGGGCTGCCAGTCCTTTACGGCCGTTGGAGAGAAGCGCGCAGGACCTTCACCAGAAGGTAGTGAAGCTTTTCTTTCTCTCAGTATAGTCTTGATGAAGGAGGGCCGCCAAGCTTACTGAAGGGGCACATGCTGGTTAGCAGTTGTAGAGCGTTCCGCGTCGGATGAGAAGGCTTCCGGATGGATTTGATCAATTGCGGTGAATGAAGAGGCGGTGATCATAAGACGGAGGCGTGAGTGGGAAGGGTACGACGGAGGACGAGATCTCGGGTTGTTTTACATCCCGCTGAGCGTAGCGATGACAGACAAGATGGCTTGACTAATCGTCTACACCTGCCGCCGTCACGATCACAAGGGACAGATACGACACGGACTTCCGACAGTTGGGGCTTCATCCAGGTCTGTAACAGGGCTGCAGCCGGCGTTGCGTGTCGCGGGTGCTGATAGGCCCCGGGCCTGCGACGGGCAGGGCTATGCGTTTCGCATCGACTTTCCCTCCGCTCGTCAACCTTCTAGAAAATGTGCCATGGGGGTGGAGATTGCAGGGACGGGGACGCGGCCGCTCTCCGCGTCTGCAGCATAACTGTCGCATGCCGCCCTCGCCCGCGGTCGTCGAGAAATGCAAAAGGGCGGAATGGACGGTCGATTCCTCCGCTGACTTGTCGCAATGCTCCTTCAGATCTACCCGCGCCATCGATTCAAGCAAAGAGAGGAGAAGGGAACTGAGGGTGGCCAGTGGGGCATCCACGACGTTACTACAATTAACCTCCCGCCGCCGATGGTCTCGCCGCGCCCCTAGCACCCTGCACGAGCGTTGGGAGAACTGCCGAACTCACAGCAAACCGTCCTTCCGTGTCGCATCCCTTTGCCTGACACATTTGTACACGACTCAGCACGCCCACAGCCCTTTCTTCACCGCGGCCAGCCGACGTTGTCTGCACAAGCCCCGTCGCTGGCACAACCATCTGATCTGGCCCCCTCTCGTCTCCCTCATATATACTACACTACATCCTTCAGGAACATGGCGCGAGTCACCCAATCCACCTGCTATACGCGACATAGTGGGCCATTGGTCGATTGTACGCCCTTTCCGATGATTCCTCTGTCGTCAATCGCCCATCCTTCGGTGCCAACCCCGTGGTGGACGTAGAAGAGCATGCCAGCGTCGTACTTCCTCTTGATCTGCACGAGCCTCGGGTAATTGTCGCCCCAGAAAGACTGCTGCCAGTTGGGCTCCGCAATATCAGCTTCGTTGCCATACGCGCCCCCCTTTGGTGTGATTTCTCGAAGCGGCGGCATGACGGTATTGGTAATCTTCTCCACGGTCGCTTGCCATCCCGCAGGCGTCTGGTTCGCCACTGGCGTGATGACGACCATCTGGCTCTCTTCGTTCCGGAACGCGGGGTTGGCAGAGTTGAGCGTCTTGTTCTCCTGCTCGGCTGGGCGCTGATGGTACATACTGACTACTGCTCCATTATCTACAGCGTGGCGGATGGTGGCAACCGTCTGATTGCGTATCTCGGAATCCTTCCAGTTATCGGATGGCACCAGACGGTTCGCCGCGATGCCTCCAGCACCACCGATGACCCAGTCAAGGGGGGCAAACGTGGCCTGGTAAGCTGGGAGAAAACTCTCATGGTAAGTTGTATTCGCTTTCACCTCGATGCCCAGCGAAGCGCACTTTTCGTAGAAAGGCTTGATCAACTCCTCGTACTCGTCCACAGTTTTGTCGGTGGCGAAAAAAGGCCCCATGGACCACATGTAGGCGCCAGGCCCCACCGACAGGATCGTAAAGAAAGAGTAGGTTTTGGCCCTGTTGTAAGCAGGCATGCTGTCAAAGTAAAACCTAAAAGCCTCCCAAAACTTGTCGCCGCTGACAGTCTCGGATGTCATAATGGTCCAGGTGGATGTGGTCACGGGGATCTTGCGATGAACCTTGACAATGGCAGATGTAACGACGCCAAAGGTGCCGCCGCCTCCGCCTAGTAGGGCCCAATATAGATCGCTATTTACCTCTGGTGTCGCAGTAACGAAGCGCCCACTAGCCAGTACGACTTCGAGTGCGAGGACCTGATCAGAGCCGAGTCCGAAAAACTGCATCAGAGGCGAATGTCCACCACCGGCCGAGTAACCACCAGTGACACCAACTGTTGGACAGATACCAGCTACGGCAGACACACCGTATTTGTCAGCGGCCTCATACAGCTCAAATCCCTGAACACCAGCCCCGAGCTTGAAAACTGGTCCCTTATATACGGAGCTCGCATAGTCCTTGACATACTTGATTTCTTTCAGTCCATGGGTCCAGATACTGAGTGCACCTTTTCCGACCGAACGGCCGTTATAATCGTGACCGGTATTGCGAACAACTAGTCGGAGGTTCCGATTGCGAGCGAGATTTATTGCCAACTGGATTTGAGCAACGTTGCTAACTTTGACGGCATACTCTGCGTAACCGCCCTGAGTGCAAGTGCCATTTGCGGAATTGCCGGAAGCTGGAATTGGGCAAGTCATGCCATACCATAACGGATTCATGAGCGCACCATTGTCTTGGTAGCTAAGCACGTTAGTTGCACCTCGTGACGACACTGGATATACACATACTAAATCTCCTCGGTATTCCAATCCTTAACGAGCTCAGCGCATCTCGCAGCATCGTAGTTGTTGTACTGGGATTGCTTATAGCAGGGCGAGCCGATGGGGACGATCTTCTCCAAAGCCCCACCGAGGAAGGAATCGAACAAATTCCATTCAGCCTTGTTTGGGTACAAGGGATCGCCTGGCATTGTTTTGCAGCGGGCAGCTTCACGGGCGCGGCGGGTGCGTGCAGACAGTTTGGAACTTGGACTGTCTCCAAATTCGAAGAACGAAGCGTATCCGGCATATTCGTTGTGCTCTTTGATCGCTGCAATGACATTGTCGGTCAATTGCACTGTCTCTGTCTCAAAGAGGGACAGGTTTGCAGGTGTGACACTGACATCGACTACTTCTGCAGCCGGTGAAAGGGATACACCGCCTGGTGCATTCTGTGCCGATGCCATAGCTGCATAGACTGCTGAGAGAGTGATAGACTTTGCCAGCATCTTGGGCAAGAACTGCTGGGACAGAGGAACGGTCGAGAGGAGTTGAAGAACGGATCCCTAGTGATCGTGTCCCTGCTGCTCCAAAGATTTATATGTATTCACTCTCGTTAATACCAATATGCCGGAGCGGAGGAACCTGCTGTTTCCATCGACAATGCTTTATTAATTACTTGGGCCGATGCAGTTTGATAGCAGTAGTGCGAAATGGCTCTTCATGGTTCGCTACCGTTGGGCAAAGGATCAATGTTCCTTTCGTCTAGAACGCCATGGGCGACCGGGTAAGTAAACAGCTACCGGGAATACTGGGCGCCTAGCACAGGGATGCATTTTGTCGACCTGCATCCTTTGGTGTTAATATTCTCCACGTGTTGTCGATACTACCGTTTGCATTTTGGATCCAACAACGTTGCAGTAGTACGCTACTTGCATAGTGACCTTCCCCTAGATCACCCATGCCCCATGATTTAGAACAGAATTTGCGTTGGTTCGAGAAAAACGTAGTGTGCACTACGAAAGGGTGCCTGTGCCACAATTTGGTTGAGTAGAGTACTTTTCTTGTACAACCACTTTGGCGTAATGGGGTTGTGGCCCGCTTTTCTAAGGCCCGCTACCCCACCCAAGATACTGCACTCCGCGGGCATTCCGGGACTTCTTTCGAGGGCCACCAAAAGAAGCTCGCTTAGCAAGGTTTCGCTTTTGTAGACATGGCTGAATGCTGATATCTTGGCTGTATACGAACTAAGCAGTTTAGCCTAGACATGATCTGTGGTTTAAGTAAAGTTTAAATACCAATCAGCAAATCGGTAAAGGCTGAATCTACTGCGTAAGACCTTGAGCATATACCAGGATGTGAAGGAGGAAGCATGGTAGTGCAAAGTTGCACAACATTTCGTTCTGCATACGTAGAGTTCTTTGGCGGGGTTGAATGGGGACCAACGCACCTTCTTGTACGTACTATTCGATACCCAATCAAAGCCTCAAGAAGAGCCTCACCAAGCTCAACGAGTAGCAGCCTTCAGCATGTTCCTGCGAGTCCCATATAGGTAGTTCTTGCCGAAGGAAGCATCCGACACTGGCAAAGGTGCTCACCGCAGCCGGCGGCACTCGGTGCTAGCTGGCCCGCATGCAAGTAAGTACCGGCAATAATTCCGATCACCGAGCGATGTATCCGGGTTAGCGGCTTCCCCTCAAATACTCTCGCTGCAGTTGGTCGAACCTGGAGAGAACATCTCGACTTATACTTACACGTAAAGTGCAAGAAGCTGGAAACATGTCGCGAATCAATGGAGCGGAGGTAGCAAAGCACCATAGCAAGAATGATTGCTGGATTGTCCTGGATTCGAAAGCATACAATATTACCAACTTCTTATCAGAACACCCAGGTGGCGCACCAATTCTCATGAAGAATGCTGGTTCGGTGAGTGTACCTCAGCGTATGGTCAGAGGATTTTCTCACCATTGAATAGGATGCAACAGAAGAGTTCAAAAAATATCATCCATTGAGCTATATCGATGACTTTCTGCCAAAGGACGCCCTGCTAGGGCCTGTTGACCCAGACACTTTTGGCCAGCTTCGTCAAATCAAAAACACCGATTCCAGAAAGCCGTCAGAGACCGATCCCAACTCTAACGAAATTCCCCATGTCAGTCTTTGCGTTTCCACGACCGACTTTGAACCAGTGGCAAAAGCAGTCATACCCCACAAGTCATATGTCTATGCCTCTGGCTCCGCAAACACGGGTGCATCGATCAAAGCCAACATTGAGGACTGGGGTCGCATTAGTTTCCGTCCACGTGTAATGCGCAATGTCGGCGAGGTAGACACGCATCGCAGGATTTTTGGCCACAGCTCACCGTACCCATTCTACGTCTGCCCCATGGGGACAATGGGCGCGATCCACCCAGATGCAGAACTAGAAATGGTACGAGGATCAGTCCGCAAAGGAATCCACATGCTTGTCAGTACAGCAAGTTCCAGGACGACCGAGCAAATCATGCAGAGTTATGTCGATGAACAAAAGCGGCTTGGCAATGGAAGCCCGACACAACTGTTTTACCAATACTACATGCCTGTGGACAAGGGCAAAGCTCTCGAACTCCTTCGCATTGTAAAGCGCTGCGGATACAAGGGCCTATGGATAACAGTCGACGCACCCATTCTCGGAAAGCGCACCGCAGATCGCCGTCTTCAGGCCGAGGAAGCAGTCGCAGTCGGCCTTGCTGATGAAGGTCCCGGAGAATGGGAAGCTGGTGGTGACAATGCTTTTGCTCCTGCCATGGGCGGACGCCCAGTCCAAGGCCAATTAACTCCGTACATGACATGGGACGACTTGGAGTGGATCCGTAAGGAATGGGATGGACCCATTGTACTCAAGGGCATTCAATGCGCAGAAGACGCAAAACTCGCAATGGAATACGGATGCGATGGTATCTTGCTCAGCAACCATGGCGGCAGACAATTGCATACTGCGCCTAGTGCACTCATGACACTCCTGGAAATCCGGACCTACTGTCCCGAAGTCCTCGGTAAACTAGAAGTCTTCCTCGATGGCGGCCTGAGAGACGGAAACGATGTGCTCAAAGCATTGTGTCTGGGTGCTACTGCAGTCGGTGTTGGAAGGCCGTTCCTCTATGCGCTTGGTGCCTATGGCTCCAAGGGTGTTGAGCGATGCGTTGAGAGTAAGTCCAAACACGTGAGAGTCTGGATAAGGAAAACTTTGCTAACGCTTCGATTAGTACTCGCGGATGAGCTCGATACTGGAATGCGCTTGCTGGGTATCACGTCCTTGGATCAGTGTAGACCTGAGATGGTCAACGCGAGTCGCCTGTTGAATGAGATGTGGCGACCCGAGCAGTTGAATTTGAAGAGCAAGATATAGATATAGAATATACAGGAGCATCTTCGGGTACGCATTCAGATTGCGCTGTCATGTGGTTTACGGCTATGGTTGTTCTGACTCGAATGGTTTTGGTGATATTTGTGGTGCGATCACAAGCCGTTGTAAAGCGAAGACCAATAGTACCCCGCAACCCCACATTGACTGCAGAAAATTTTAGACACGACGAATTTTAATGAATTTTTATTACAAATGAGGGTTCTATTATGATTACTACGACCAAGTGAGTATGATTGTCTGCGCCTGGAATACGTTCTGATTCATTTACACATAGATTCATTTGACTTCCATCACAACACCTTACGGTGAGATGGCCGAGTTGGTTATGGCGCCAGGTTAAGGTCTTCTTAACACTATATTCCTGGTCACGAAAGTGGCGTGGGTTCGAGTCCCACTCTCATCAGCATTCGTCTGCTTCAGCAGATACCCCAGGGTTCTTTTTTGCCATTGTACCTGTCTCCAAGATTTGGCTACATGGATCTATTGTTTTTGCATATCAGCCTGCAATACATCTGGCCTGAATGATATTTTTCATGTATTGAAGCGAACATACATATCCTTCTCTCTCAAGAAACAAGCGTAATCGCCTCACTTCTTTGCAACAGCAACGTGCGCTACCATAGGAAACCCAACCACTTCCACAATCTCCGCATCCTTCTTCCCATTCACGGCCCTCTTCACCGTAACCGCCTCCTTCCTCCCTTCAATAACAAGTTGCTTCCCAAACTCCACATACTCTTTCTCCGTCCACTTGGGCCCAACCTGCCTCCATATATCCATCAAGAACCCACATGTCTCCTGCAGACTACCCCCCGCAAAATGCACAGTCACCTCGCTCATCTCCACACTTTCAAACCCGGCTTTCTTTAGTATGTCTCGCAGGTGCTCAGCTTCATACCATTCTTCCGCAATCGGCCACTCGAATGGTGGGTCGTGCGGTCTCACTGCCTTTTGCGCGCGGTGCAGCACAGGCATGTATCCTGCAGACTTCCAGGTTGTGACGATGGCGGTGCCGGTGGGGGATAGGGTACGGTGGATTTCTGATGCGCCTTTTAGGGGGTTGGTGAAGAAGAATATGCCCATGTTTGTTATTGAGTGCGTGAAGGAATTAGAGGGGAGGGGGGAGAGGGCGTCGCCGGGGAGGACGTGGAAGGAGAGGTTTGTAGTAGTGTTTGAGGGGGTCAGGGTGGGGAGGGTGTGTTGGGCTAGAGTGACCATTTGGGGGGAGGAGTCGGTACAGATTATAGAAGGGTGGAGGGAAGGGTTTTGCAAGAGGAGTTCTTGGGCGAGGATGCCGGGGCCGCAGGCGTTGTCGTGGATGTGCGAGTTGTTGGAAAGAGGGGGGAGGAGGGAGACGAGGTGGGTGGCTAATTGGCGGGTGCAGCCGCCGGAGGAGGTTTCGTATTTTGAGGCGAAGTCGGAGTAGAGCGTATCCATTGAGGGTTTGGAGGAAGTCATCTTGTTGGATTTGGTTTGGTCGGGTTTGAATAGTGAGAGGTTGAATGGAGTGCCTTGGAAGTGGGCTTGAGGCGGGTTTAAATATCTAGAGTGTTGATGACTGGATTACAGGGACTATTTCTGGTGACTATCGGTTTGCGGGATGGAGACTTCATGTACGCAAGTTGGTGCTGGTATGGATAAGTCTCCGTTGCACTGGAACTGTAGCTCGGATACTTTTACGTATGGAAAGTTTCCGACGCTACAAAGTCTTATGTACGCACCCAATATGCATGCAAAACATCCTTTCTGGCCAATTTGGTACTGAGTAGAAACCAATCATGTTAGCCATCTCTAATGAAATTGCAACGTTGGACCCAAGTCTTACACATAATCCCATAATTCCTACAAGCCACAAACATACAACCCCCATCCCCTTTCCCCCTCACCAGTCAGGGAAAAAAAACACTACAACTTCACATCCTCCCTAAACCTAACCAACCCATCCTGAAAAGTAGTCGCAACATGCACGCCCCTCTCATAATCCCACATGCGACTCATATACAGCGCCCTCCCCTCCGCCGCCCGCGTAACCCACGACTCCTGCACAAACCACTTCCGTCCATCCTGATCCCCCTTCCCATACCCCTCCAGATTACACACCGGCAACGCCCCATCTTCCCAGAGCGTAGGCTCAGCGTCCGGATGATCTACGCGCGGTTCGGGAGACATAATAAGATCCCGGATGCCCGTGTGGAAAATTACGCTGTGGCTGAGCGATGCCATGCGTGTGAAGTCGCGGGGTTTATCGAGGTGTCGCGGGACGATTTGGGGGGATTGGCAGTCTGAGGCGTAGAGGTGGGTGCAGGCGTGCATGTTTGCTTCTCTTGTCAATTTCATCTTTCTGGGATCTGAGGGGGGTGGGAAGGGCGCGGTAGGTAATGGAAGCGATCCCCGCAGGGAGTAAAAGGTTAACTGTTTTCGGTCGAGTGGTGCGCGGGTGCGGTTGTAGGGTGCCATTTCGACTTTTCGGAGGTGCAGGCCGGGGACGGGGTTGAAGTGATTTGGGTGGGCTGGGAGGTAGTCTTCGACGAAGACGGCGGAGTCGTTGCTGGGGGTTGAGGAGTGTTGCATTGGTTCGTTTTCTCGGCCTTTGAGGACTTCGTGGTACATTTCTTTTAGGTTGATGTGTTCTTGGGCATCGACTGATGCGCTTTCTTCGCGCTTGAAAGAACATATGCATGTGAAGGTGCTGCTTTTCGCTGCGGCTTGGGCCACGGTTACGTTGCGAGAGCAGTAGTTGTAGCCATCGCGGATTTTCTCCACACGGTAGGTGAAGTGCTCATTGGGGTTTCCAGCGAGGTTGAACCAGCCGGTGATATTCTGGTGGCTCGGTCAGCTGGATAGCTAAACGTGAGCCCAAGGCTGCAACTCGCATGTATCAGGTATCCCTCTTTCATGGTTTGTGCTGCAGCCCATGCAGCCTGCGCAAAGATATGACCACCATACGTCCCATTTTCTCCGCCTGTTGGTGAGTAGCCTCTGGTTATCGAGCGGAACGTCAACTCGTCGATTTGTTCGAGCTCTATGAGTTTGTCGAAAGGAAGTACTTTTCCTTCTTTGGTATAATACGGACGGACGACCATGGTGCTAGTGAGAGCGAACACAAAGATGAGACATGGATGGTTACTAGTGCGGTTTTGATGGTGTATTATACCAGCCTAATCAAAGTCTCAACAAACAGGCTTCAGCCTCACGGATGGAAGCTGAGCTAGCAAGTTACCTCGGAATACGAATAGTAGACAAGGCGCGGGGTCGGATAACAATAGTGATAAACCAATCATCTCGGTAGTGCCAAGCCAATTGTGTTACACAAAAGAAATATAGTTTTTAACTTATCCATAATCGTGCAGCTAGTATACTGAGCAGGGACATCCCTACACGCAACGTGGCTGAGCGTCTTTAGAAGTATCTGCTGCGATCGATTTTTCAACAACATGTAACAGCTCAATATAGTCTATCTTCTATTTATGAACCACAGCCTCAGGTAGTAAAACACGAGACCAATACACCATATAGCCACAAGAACACTAGCTTGAATGGGTGCAAAAACAGCACCGCGAACGACAACAAACCCGCTAATTACAGCGAATATGATAGGTACGAGGATCAAGGGTTTTACAGGTCGAGGCAAGTCAGGTTCCCGGAAGCGCAGGATTATTGCGCCAAGGACTGTAAGGAAGAAGAATGCATACTCAGCAAGACCGTTGAGCGTGAGCAAGATACGCATGTTTCCAAGCAATATGTAAATTGCAGAGAGGACGGTATTGAGGAGCAGTGCGTTGCTAGTCATAATCAGACGGCGTTCAGTATAGTCAATGGATACCACTTACATTGGCGACTCTCCGTTGTCCATTGCAAGGTCTGCTGGTTCGCTCTCCTCGGTATCGCTTCGGACTTTGAATGTGCCGATATACCCGACTGTACCAAGGATATGTGGGAACCAGTTGTTGTTAGCCGCCGCCACAGTCATTCTTCCAGCAACGAAAGAGTTGCCGAGTGCAGAACCGGCTATGACGAGACATATCAGGGCGGTAGCGAAGTATGCTACACCCTTTCCTAGAAAATGTGTGACAGCCGTCTACCCAAAGTTAGCAAGGATTCAGGTACGCGGAACTCTGTGCGATACTTACCACAGCGGCAGCGTCAGTTGTTGACACCACTTCCCATGGAAGTAGAACATAGTAAACAGAATTGGCCGCTACGTAGCAAAGAATGATTGTTGGAATAGCAGTGTTGATGGAAAGTGGCAGCTGACGGCTGGGATTGCGAAGCTCAGCTGCAACATAATTGGCCTTGTCCCATCCAGAGTACGCCCATAGAGCCCCGTACAGCGCTGTGCTATAAAAGCCTAGTGATTCCCACGTAGTCACTTTAGTCCAGTCAAATCGCGAACCGTCAGGTAAAACTGTATCACGTGGCGAAAACCAGTTGTTCTGATGCCAATCACCGCCGCCTAGGTCCTTGCTCTTTCCAAGGAAAACAAAGACGACAACCAATCCAGCGACTATGAGAAGAAAGATTGTGAACAGCTTTATGGCGACAAAAAAGCTCGACAACCGAGTGCTCGTCTTGGTGCTAATGGAGTTAAGAGTCGTAACGCAGACCAAAACCAGCAAAGACAAAAGCTTGTGAGTCAAGGGCGGATCAGATTCGTTGATGCCCAAACTGGAGTATATAGATTCAACGAATACAATACTGAGGATCGCAAGGGTGGCTGGCATAGTCGCAATTACCCAAGACCAAGCCGCCATGTACCCAAACACATCGCCGTAGATGTAGGTAAGGTACGGTTGGATGCCGCCCTCGCCAGGAAACGCTGTACCCAGCTCGGCCATGGTGAGGGCGCCCGTCCACGCAAGGATACCTCCGACAAGCCATACTAAAAGACCGGCACCAGGCGATGGGACGTTTGCGTCGATGGGTCCTGGAGATGAAAAGACGCCAGACCCGATAACGATGCTTATCAGTAGAGCAAAGCCGTCCAGTGCACCGAGATTGCGAGCAAACGTGCTTCGGGGTAGTGCGGTTTCTTCATGTTCTTCGTCGGGCTCGTAGGAGGTGGTCGATTCCTGACGGAGTAGGGGTGCCGTCTCTGAGGGTGCCATTGTCGTGGTTTGAAGGTGTAGAAGGGGTGGCGCGGGTTACTATGGTATTACGGTTGTGCCGAGGTGATTGCGCATGAGCGCACGAAACAAGCTGAAGCCTACGGAGCTCTCCTGGACGCGTCTGAAATCGCTAAAAGCCGAGTGTTTGTTGTCGCCCTGTCCTGTGAGTGTTGCTGATCTCGAGGGCCGAGGTGCAAATGTTCAGACGGCTAGACAGGGCACACGTTGAGGCGCGACATTATCGCGTCAAAACGAAGCTATGTTACGTCATCCCGAATTCACGCGACTATCTCTTGCAACAGATTGCAAAACAATATACGAACATTTTGACACGGCATCTTCATCATAATTACATGTTTCAAAGACATGCACATAGTTACCTTTTATAATCTTCTACAGCAATTGTTTTCCGCGGTGTTTTTAATTTCGCCCCAAATCTGAATGGCTACAATGCTTGGATTAAAACTATTTTGAAATCTAACAAACCACCATTGGCGCTGGACCCAATGACTCAGTTTCATATTACAATCAATTGACGAAAGCAGCTTAGATGAGCATGTTTATTCGGCTCGTCGGGCTAAGAATATGCACAGATCTATACGACAAACATCTTCGCGTAAAAACGTGGAGAGCAATGCGCCTGGTGACATCATTCAGCCACTTGCTGGGTCTGGAACAGTTTGTGGACAGACACGAAGCAGGGCATGTGACAAGGCGATAGCGAACACGAGGAGAGAAAAGAAAACCAAGAACGCATGCACACATGCGTGCTGCGTGCATGCAACTAGCAGGTTGCTGGCTCAGGTTCCTTAGACCGATCACAAGTTGGGTAGGTTGTTCCATTCGAACTAGGTGGGATTCTAGACATTTTCCGAGAGGCGCTAGATCAGAATCCACGTTGTCCATGTCAAACTGCATCATTGCAATGGATCTACGAGGGTTCGCCATGTAATTCGTTTACACTGGATAGAGATTTAGAAAAGGCGGGGTGGTGGAGTTTGAATGGTTACCAATATGACGGACCAATGACGCTCGGTGGAGCCTGCGGGACCTAGTAGCTGTTCCCGGACTTCCCCAGGGCTTAGCGCTGCCCATCATCATGGCGACGTCACTCTGAGGACGACGAGCAGTTTGCTACAAGAGATTTCAAGGGCCTTTAAAGCGCTGGGTCCCTTCCAAATCTTCCAATTCACTCCTCCTATCAAGATACCCAATCCCTCCTCGCTTTTGTTTTCAAAAAATACCCTCATCGATACCTTTTGAACCAGACACATTCACATACTTCTCAAAATGTTCTCAAGACAAGCAACACAGAATGCACGCTTTGCTGCTCGCTGTGCGCGTCGCCCGGCTGCTCGCGTAGCAAACCCCCAGTACCGTGCCCAACACCCACGCTTCCAGTCAACCCAGACAGTCAGCTCCGGTAACTCGGGGGCCGGTACACATGCCGCAGTTGGTGCTGCTTCCGGTGCTCTTGCCGCCATCACAGTCGGCTACATCTTCTACAGACAATCGGGTGCCAGGGACGTTGTCGCGGCCTCCAAGACTGCACAAGGCTACGTCAAGTCGGCTTCACAAAAGATCAAGGAGCAGACCCCCGAGCCAAACGAGGCGCTACAATGGCTTCGCCAAGCCGCTCAGAGTTATGCTGCGTTCATCCCCGGTGCCAAGAGCTACGTTGACTCTGCCTTTGATGACCTCGATGCCATACGGGCGAAGCACGGCGACGAAGTCGACAGCATTGTACGCGAAGCATACGATGAGATGCGACAAGTTCTGGGCAAGGGCGACATGAGCCTTGTCACTGCACACCAAACCTGGGACGTCATTACCAAGCACATGAGCCGTATTGCAGACCTCGCCGGTGACGCTTCACAGCAAATCATGGACAACCACCCACAACTGAAGGAGAAGTTGGGCGGCAACATCGACAAGCTCAAGGAGTATGGCGACAAGTATGGCCCTGAAGCAAAGAAGGAAGTCGACAGGACCTGGAAGCAGATCAGTGACGTTGTCAAGACTGGTATGAGTGCCGGCAACATTGAGAAGATCAGGAGCATAGTGCAGGAGAAGATTGAAAAGCTGAACAAGATGGGTGACGAGGCGTGGAAGAAGGGCATGGAGCAGGCAAAGCCCTATCTTGACAAGAACCCACAAGTCAAGAAGCTCGTGGAAGAGAATGCCGATGCTCTGAAAGGAGGCAACGTCCAAGAGCTGTACCAGCGCGTCAAGTCAGCCGTTGAGAAGGGCGACACCGGTGACCTCCAGTCATACATCAAGAGCGTCGCGGATAAGGCCAAGGATGGCGGTTTTGGTGACTACGAGCAGTACCTCAAGAAGATTCCCGGTGGTGACCAGATACTACCCAAGCTGAGCCAGCTTCAAGAAGTGGCCCAGAAGCACGGCGACGAGGCACAGAAGCTTCTCAAGGAAGCCGTTTCAGAGATCTCGGACATTCTGCAAAAGAAGGGTGATGAGGCGTCCAAGCTTGCTGAGAAGGCCAAGGAGGACTCGAAGAAATAGAGCGCTGAGCTCGGTTAGTAATCATGGGGAGGAATACTACAAAACTTGCATCTGTACTCTAATGTATTATCAGCATCCATTGCATGGAGAGCAAATGACACGAATGAAATGATTCAACACTAAGATGTGCGTGAGCAAGCACTACTATTGGACTATGCATACTTCTTCACTTGCGTTGCACGTTGGCCATTTGGAAGTGAATAACGTCGGCGCGACATCCATCTTGTATCAAGGCTGTTGTCCGTATGGTGTAACAATGGGAGTTTGCGCAAGCCATGTTTGCCTATCGGCTTGGTGCATTCCTGCACAGCGATGGCCGGTGCAACGTTGAGGAGGCAACAGACCCTATTCACGAGACGCGTGTCAGGAGTGGGTGGGAACAGCTGGGTTCTTGCTGTAAAGGTAAAAGTCCTGAGAAGAGACTCCGGATCTATAAGGGAAGTTGATATGCACGGATATACGCGAGGCGGCCAACCACGAACAATAAGCGACCGGATGAGAGCGGCACAGGTCCGATGCATTGGACAAGGTAAGGATGTTTCATGTATGCCGTGGTTGGGCATGCGGTGCTCAACCATGCTTTGGAGTAAAGTGCTGATGCCTGAATACGATTCAAAGGACCAAGTATTGACGAAACAACAGCCTCTCCGCATTTGTGGCTGCATGGAGACGTAGGCGGGGATGCACGCTTGTCACTGCCTGCATGCAGGAACTGCTCACTGCGCACACCGCAGGCCGTGCTAGAGGCATTAGACTTGCTCATGCGGGGTGAGGCGATGCCCATGGTGACATGTCGGGCCGCGTGGATTGTAGTGATACAGACGTAGTGTCCAAATGAGTAAATGAAGCATCCGGTGGAGCAGGTCAGCAAAATTGCAGTAGTTCCCGCGCTATAGTGAGGGACAGTGAAAGGGGCAGAGGCAGGTAAAGGACAGGCGGCGTACGGCAGAGAAGATGCGAGAAAGGTGACCCCACCATGTTGCAGACAGGCGGGCGTGGTGGTGGTGGGGGGGAAGCCAAGGTGAGAGCAAAGTGGTGAGAGAAGTTACATGCGTCCCACCAATGGCCTGCGCACGCTCCACCAGATTGGCCAATGACGTAGGTGCGCCTGCCCGCTGCTGCACCGCCGCCCTCCCATGCCTGACATCCGGCAGGCGCGCTCACTGCTGCTTATTTACCAGAGTCCCAACAAGCCCCTTAAAGCCTTTATCTTCTCTCTCCCTACCTCTACACTCAACACTTTACCAGGCCACTTTGAGCAGTCAGTTAGCAGCACTGATAACCCACCCAGCCTCGATACAACAACACCACAGCAACCATGGGCAAGGTAAACACGCACCCCCACCTTGAAAATGTACCCCGCCAGTACCCCGCTAACCCATGCATAGGCAAAGTACATCATGCTCGACTGCGACAACACGCTTGTCCAGTCAGAGCGCTACGCCTTCGAGGCCTGCGCTGACCTCACCAACGAAGTCCTCAGCAAGCACAACATCGACGCCAGGTACACGGCCGAGACACTGCTTGAAGACTTTGTCGGCCACAACTTCCGCGGAATGCTCAACGGCCTGCAGAAGAAGCACAACTTCCAGATGCCACCCGAGGAGATGGATGACTACGTCCAGCAGGAACTGGGTGCCGTCACTCGCAAGCTGAGCCAGAAGGCGGTTGAGTGTCCTGGCGTGACTGAGCAGCTCAAGTGGCTCAAGGAGCAGGGCTACCCCATGGCCGTTGTGTCGACTTCAGCCAAGAGCCGTGTCGTTGCCTCGATTGAGAAGGCGGGCATCGACCACTTCTTCCCCAACGAGCACGTCTACTCGGCTGCCACCTCGCTCAACCCGCCCTCGTCCAAGCCTGACCCCAAGATCTACCTGTACGCTGCTGAACAGCTCGGTGTCAAGCCATCCGAGGCTGTGACGGTCGAGGACAGCAAGAGCGGTGCCACGGCTGCCATGCGCGCCGGTATCCCCTGCATAGGATACGTTGGCATCTACGGCATCGAGGAGGGCAAGGAGAAGATGGAAGAGATGGCCAAGCTCCTCACAGAAGAGACCAAGTGCGCGGCCATCATGTACGACTGGAAGGACTTCCCCGAGTGCCTCAAGAAGGTTGAGGCTTCCATGTGAATGCATGGTAGAGCACCAGGCATGACGAAGATCTGATGAGCTCGATACGCCACTGCGGACGAGACTACGACCATTGACGGCTTCTATGAGTACATACATTCGATAATGAATATTTGATGGGCATGGCCCCCCTCCAAAGAGCTATTTCAGGATGATTGTTTGTGTTGTTTGGGTGTGATGTTTACAGGTTTTGTTTAACATGTGACGCAACAGTGGAACCCCGCGACGGTCGGTAGTAGCGGACGCGACGTGACGGCCCAACGTTGCCCCGCCGTCCCCACTGGCTCACGATCGAAAGAGTAGAGACTGGCAGCTGGACCTGTTCAAACGGGCATGGTTCGTCCGCACTACTGGACGTTTTCTATTGGATGTTTGTTTGCTGGGCCAATTAGCAGCCATCCGATGCAGCGACGAAGAAAAAACTCATGTGCAGCTCCATTGGGCAGAAAACTCAGTCATCACGAGGTATTCGGACAGTATGGCTTTTGCACTACTACAAGTACATGCTCACATACATGAGTATGTAATAGACAGTGTGACACTGGGCCGGTGATGATTCTCGCCACGTCGTGGAACTCCGAGGATATTGAAAGCGATCCACTCACCCCTATTCCTATTCCCATGACATTGCTGGGTGGTGATACCTGTCGGCAACGCGGCAAGCATAGTTATTGCCAGCCAAAAGCAGTGCTTCTCAACAATCTTGGCGTGCAAAGGCTGGTGCGTGCGGGCATCACGTTCTCTGCCCTTGGACACGCCGTCTGCGAGCAACGCGAGCGATGCAACATTGGAATTGCCCCTCTTGGGATCGTGCGCGCAACGCGTTATCTTTGGCGTTTTGACGATCGCGCTCTTGGCAGCTTTACTCCGCCGCCGGATAGGAAGAATCGACTGCGGCCAAGACATCTTAGACGAAGCCTCCTTCCCGAACCGTGCACCCATCCGTAGTTCAAGCTTTTGCTTAATCTAGAAGCCCCAAATACTCCTCTCCATAGGCTTGTCTGCCCTGGCTATACAATGCTTCGTATCCTTACTATGGGGCGCCTGTGCACCCACACCACTGCGTACCATGGGGCACTATACCGATGGTAGCATCCAAAGGGGGCAGGTAGCCTATAGACCTGCCTCGTTGGCCATAGGGGTTGCATTATAATAATTTGCCTACGAAGTTTCCATAGAACATTTAAGACCGTCCATGGACCTGTAGTACCTCGAGCACCGCTGTCTCGTTGCCTCTCAAGCCACCGCAAACATGTTCCTACGCACAGCTCTCCTCTCGCTGTCCGCCCTTGCGGTGGCAAAGGAAATGCCCAAAGATGAGCTTAGGGCTGCCCAGCTCTATGACTCTGGCATCAGGCACGAGAACAACATGGCCCTGAAGAAGGTTGCGACTCCGTTCCACTACGCTCGGCTTTGATGTTAACCAGTAACAGGAGTCATGGGCTAAACAAGAGGCTGCGGGCATGTACAACTCTGCCCAGTTCGCCGAGGTCAAGAACAAGGTCGAGTGCATCAACGGAACTGCCATCACCGACACCGATGTGTTCAAGTGCAAGAACGTCAGTAAAAATAATCCCCTAGTCGGATAGCAACAGCTGACCCATGACTAGATCGATCTCCTGCACTTCTTGTCGCATGCCGAGCTTGGCAGTACCCGTGGTGTCGGATCGTCATCGTGGGGTAAGTAATATGCATTTCCTTCAGAATGGCCAATGCTTATGACTTCCAGGTTGGACCTCGGACGATGGTCGCGAGTTTGTTGCAATCGGACAGCAAGATGGTGCTGCGTTTGCTGAGATCAACAAGGAAGGCAAACTCGTCTACCTTGGACGTCTTCCAGCATACTCGACCCCCAGCACCTGGCGCGAGATTCGTGGCCAGAACAACCTGATGATCATCGGTAGCGAGGCCCAGGGACACGGCATCCAGATCTTCGACATGAAGAAACTACTCACCGTTAACCCGGCTTCCCCGAAGGTCTTTAGCAACTCCAAGGATCTTACTGGTCACTTCAAGGGCCTCCCCAGTGGCCGAGCCCACAACGTCGTAACCAACCCTGAGACCAACTTCATCTACGCCGTCGGAGCGCAGCCCAGGACCGACAAGTGCAAGTCCGGCATCATTTTCATCGACATCACCGACCCTTCCAACCCAACCACCCCTGGATGGTAAGTCTGCAACCCTGGGAATCATCAACATGCAGCTGACATTGTATCTCAAGTGCGTCGCAGGACGGTTATGTGCACGATGCTCAGTGCCTTATCTACCACGGCCCCGACAAGCAGTTTGAGGGCCACGAGATTTGCTACGGTTACAACGAAGACTCACTTTCCATGCAAGTCAGCACCTTTGATCAAATGAGCAGCACTGACAAGGCCCAGTTATGACGTAACGAACAAGAAGGCTCCTGTTCTTTTGTCCGTCACTTCCTACGAGGGTGCAGCATACACCCACCAGGGCGCTGTCTTGGATCCCAAGAACCAGAAGTACCTGCTTCTTGACGACGAGTACGATGAGTACGACAAAGTTGGCCCCGGTGTCCCAGGAAACCCCATCACCTACATCTGGGACATTTCATCTCTGCGCGCACCAAAGCAAACCGGACTGTACAGGAGCGGAGCTAAGGGTGTCGATCACAACCAGTATGTTGCCAACGGTTTCGCATACCAGTCCAACTACGGCACTGGTTTCCGCGTCCTGGATGTCCGCTCGATTCCCCAGGATCCCACCGGTGCTGGTGTTAGGGAAGTTGGCTTCTTCGGTAAGTTATTTTTGCCACCCTTGGTATTGAAGAACATCAAAATTGATTATGATAGATATTTACCCTGAGGATGACAACATGCCCGGAGGCGGCAGCGTTGACTTTGTTGGAACTTGGTCGAGCTACGCGCTATTCAAGAGCGGTCACATCCTAGTCAACACTATGGAGCGTGGCGCGTTCGTTGTCAAGTTGCAAGCGGGTTTCGACAAATAAGCAAAGAAGGAATAATGATAATGATGGCCTGGACTTTCTTGTATCTAATTGAGACGTGGTTCTGTAAAGATCTATCGGTCCTAGTCGTATTCGGCCGGTTGCGAGTGTGGCTTGACTTATCAATTCGTAATTTGACCAATGCTACTCGGCTCTATTCCCTTGTGTTTGCCCGCTTTTTTGATCATATACCCGTTGCCAAGTCCAGCGCATAACAGCCATAGTGGTAGCGAGGTGACGGCTGCCGAGGCTCCCAATTTAGACTACCACAACCAGCCACTTTAGTCACACATTGCATATTTTTTGATCAAATTGAGAGCAACCTGCTGCTAAGCCGAGAGCTTCTCGAAGTGTTTCAGTGGCGGGATCGTCGCTTTGCCCCTTCCATTATCATCCGCCCTGATTCTGGCGCTATCATGCCAAGGCGATTCGACGGGGAATGGATGTTTCTTGGCGGGGAGTGGATTCTTGGCCGCCATCTAACTTCCCAATCAAGTGTCGTCTGGCCGTGAGCTAGGTATGTCCGAGAGATGATGCGGCTATTCTCCTTCCTCATACAACACAGCATCACGCAGCCAAGTCGACCTTCATCAATTTCGTCGCCTTCGCCCCCAGCCCTTCACCCGGCTACCCGTCACCAATATCCCACAGCATGCCTTGAATACCCATTCCCCGGTTCCCGAACAGTGGCCAACTAGCCATCGCAATAGCAGCTGCCTGAATTGGTTAGGCCAATGAGCACGCGACTATGCTAGCCCAACTCTCATAGTCATTTACGAGGACGTCCACCAGAGTATATAGAGCCATGCAATTCCGGTTGGATCTGGCACGGCAGCCTTCTCAGTCTTTGCTCATCTCTCATTCTCGATATTCAAGATGAGGTTCGTTCCATTCGTTGCGCTCGCTGCGCCTGTCCTTGCCCAGGTTGGTCCCAAGCCAAACCCAAACACAAAGCCCGGCAAGCCTGGAAAGCATCACGATAAGCCTAAGAAGCTTGTCACTCCCAAGGATCTGATCAAGGACATTAAACTTGAGGATCTGCTCAAGGGTTCCCAAAAACTTCAAGACATTGCCGACGAAGCTGGCGGTAACCGTGCTTTTGGTGGCACAGGACACAACGCGACCACCGAATGGTTGTACCAGACTTTGTTGGCCACTGGCTACTATGACGTGTACAAGCAGCCATTCGTTGAGCTTTTCACCGCTGCTACGACCAAGCTCACTGTCGCCGGTGAAGATATTCCCGTCTCTTACATGACCTTTGGCCCCTCTGGCGATGCCACTGCCAACATTGTCAAGGTTAACAACCTGGGATGCGCCGCCGCAGATTACCCTGCTGCTGTTTCTGGCCAACATGCACTCATCTCTCGAGGCACTTGTCCCTTTGCCGAAAAGTCTACCCTAGCAAAGGCTGCTGGTGCTGTAGGCGCACTCATCTACAACAATGAGCCAGAGCAGCCCCTCTCAGGTACCCTTGGAGGTGCAGGCAACTACGCTCCTACTGTCGGCATGACCAAGGAGGCTGGAGAGGCTCTCATTGCTAAGCTTGGAAACAGCACTGCACTTCAGGGAACCCTCTTCATCAATGCTATCCAGGAAAACCGCACCAACTACAACGTCATTGCTGAGACAAAGGAGGGCGACCACAACAACGTCCTCATGATTGGTGGCCACACCGACTCCGTCTACCAGGGCCCTGGTATCAACGATGACGGATCTGGTACTGTTGGTACTCTAGTCGCTGGCCTTGCTCTCACCAAATACAAGATCAAGAACGCCGTTCGTCTTGGTTTCTGGGGTGCTGAGGAGTTTGGCAAGCTTGGATCCTTCTACTACATGAAGACCATCAACGGCACTTTCGGCGGCAGCACCGCCGAGGCCAACAAGATCCGTGCCTACCTCAACTTCGACATGATTGCCTCGCCCAACTACGTCCTTGGTATCTACGACGGTGATGGCAGTGCCTTCAACTTCTCTGGCGCAGCCGGTTCCGACAAGATCGAGAAGGACTTTGAAGAGTTCTACGAGGAGCGCGGCCTTCCCCACGTTCCCTCCCTCTTCACCCTCCGCTCCGACTACGCTGCCTTCCTCGAGAACGGCATTCCCTCCGGCGGTCTCTTCACCGGTGCCGAAGTCCTCAAGACCCCCGAGGAGGCCCAGCTCTTCGGCGGTGAAGCCGGTAAGCCCCTCGACGGATGCTACCACCAGGCCTGCGACGACATCGACAACCTCAACCACGAAGCCTACCTCCTCAACACCCAGAGCATCGCAAACTCCGTTGCCAAGTACGCCGTCTCTTTCGAGGGTATCCCCAAGGCCAATGCTACTCTCCGCAAGCGCGGTGCTGAGTCGGCGCGCTTCATGAGCAGGTTCGACCACGGTGGCCATGAGCACCTTGGCCAACCTTGCGGTGCTGGAAAGCACGCTATTTAAAAAAAATTCATGTTCTATAATGATTTGTTGGGGGGTTGAAAGGAAAATGATGAGATGATACCATGAGAGAAATCTTTTTGTAAAAGTAGATGAAGAATAATACCCGTTTTTTTTGGTTACTTTTGACTTGACTTTTGCTATATCTGGTGATTGAATGCTGTGAAACTTTCGATTTCTATCATTTTATCTTCGTAGTTGAGTTATATCGTTGTTCTGATGTTAGGGCCAAGGACATCTAGTCCATCTCTTCACCACTCAAGCTCGACACTCCTCATCGCTAATATCAACAACATTTTTTTTTAAAAAAAATATCCCTTGATTCAATATAAAACTACAAGAAGCGTACAAAAAATTACCTATACATTCAATCCAAGAATTAAAAAAATATGTAGAAACCTTCTTCCCAAAAACTTTGGCCGAGATTACACTTTCTCTCCTTCTCCCCCCGGTAATCTGGGGGAAAGGGAGAGAGGAACTCCACAAAACGAGCATTCCGGTGCCACTTTCCACCTCGTATGTTCACAAGATTTGCAGTACTCAGGAGTTGATATACTGGAGCCTAGTACTACCCATTTCTTATTCACATAGTACACTTTTGCATTCAACATGTGCTTAGCGATGGAAGTATGTCGCATATGATATCTTCCTGGCGCTGTGAGGAGTTAGTTATACGTGTGTGTTGGAAAGAGTGGGGAAGGAAGGACAAACTTTGGGGAGAGTGCCGGTGGTAGGGTCGGTTGAGAGAGAGTCCTCGAGATTGACTGAGCCGAGGGTGCCGGAGGCTTGGCGGCGCTACGTGGAGGGTTAGTTTATATGCCTGCTAGTAGAAAGAATTTAGGGCAAGGGGAAGGCGAACTTGGCGGGGAAACTCAGGGAGAGAACCGGTAATAGGGTCGATTGATAGAGACTTATCGAGATTGACTGAGCCTAGGGTGCCGGAGGCTTGACGGGGCTGTGAGGAGGGTTAGTTATATGCGCGTTAGAAAGAGCTGGGGTAAGGAGAGTGGCATCATTCTACACTTACGCCCAGATCCACTACCGCAAAAGGTTGTATAGCCTCTGAAACATCTTGCTGGCGCTTTAATGAGTTAGTTCCACGCGTATGTTGGAAAAAAATAGTGGGTTGGGAAGGACGAACTTTGGTGAGAGCGCTGGTGGCAGAGTCAGGTGTCATTGGGGAGGGCACCGCCGCAGTATCAACGGTTGGGGAAGTGACATCCTCAGGAACAAACTCGGTGATAGCGCCGGAGAGCTCAGCCGGAACCTCAACAGGTCTGGCATGGGCGCTTGAGGCGAGGAGGAGGGAGGTTAGGAGGAGGAAGTTCATGGTGAGGTTTTGTTGGTGGTTTTGTTGGTGATGGAAGTAGTTTGGTTGATGGGATGGATACAAGGTGAATGTTTCGAAGAGTGCCTTTTATATATTGGTCTTGTAGATCTCGATTTGACAAGTTCATTGGAGGGTGCTTTTCATAGGTGGCGTTTGTCTATCTATATTTCGCAAGTCTTTTGGGGCGACTTTCGGAAGTCTTGGTTGGAGAGGCGGGGAAGATCGTCCTGGATTTCTTGGATGGTTCCCAAGCGAAATGTTTGTATCGAGTGGGCTGACTTTGGTGCAAATCAGCTTCTAGAAGATGTCCTTTTTTAGATGCTTTTGGTCGGTTGGATGGCTTGGCGAGGAAGCCACTTTTCACACAAGATCTTCTCATAATGCTTGAACGTCCTATTTGGGAAGAATTTTGCGTGATCTGGCCGATCCTTAAGTCTTTGAAATTTGGTTTTGTGGGGTGGGCTGCTTGCGGTTCGTTTCTTAGGAAGGCACATGGAGATGTAACGTCAGACACCGATTTATGACTGAATGTACTCACAGGTGTTTATTTTTTGAGATTTGACGATCCTATCGGCTCCTGCATACATCATAGAGCATCGAGTCTACTGCACCAGTCTAGCAGGTTCGTCTTGCTAATGCACACATACGCAATGTACAGTTCACGAGATAGACGGTACCTCAGTTTTGAGGCTAGTTCGTGGGACAATTCATGATAAAACTTAACTAGATCATGCGTATCAGTGATTGTAGAATTTTGGCTGCCTTTCCTAGTTTCGATCAAGTGCTGATGATGGATGCATATTCACATGACAGTAGCGTAGGGTTCGGAGATGGCTAATGCTAGAAGCCACCAATGATAAAAGACACTCCAGAATGATAATTGACAGAATTTGAAAAACTTGACATTATATGAAAACGGTATGCCCATTGCATATGCTGCTGTAAAGAGCACTGCTTATGCGCGCTACAATCAACGCCCAGCTGCAGTGTATACCTATTTCTCTGCTCATATCCATCACCTACATCAATGAAAATCATAAAATAAGAGCAGTTCGAATAAGCTTTTGCCAAATTTTACCCCCTTCCTCTACTGATGCAATGCACGTAAGCGCGCAAAACTTTCTTGTAATTGCGCAGGGCAGGCGGAAAGACAGGGGGCGAGGCGGAACGTGTCTGGAGCGCGGAACCAGCGTGTACCCTGATGGCTGCCACGCAACATCATCATGTCATCAACGTTTTCTTACACAGTACAAATGATTCGCCATTCGAAACCTTTTCGTAAAGAAACATGTACTTCGTTACCAAGAACACATAATATGAAATCTAACACATCCCTTCTTCAATACTGACACGAGCAGTCCGTATTCCAAGTCGCACGACACAACACACACGTCGCATCCCTCCCAGCATCCGCACAATGCCATTCCCAAACCTCAAAACAAACCCTATGCACACTCTTCCCGCACCCGTCTTTACACCACACAGTCTCTTCTTCTTCAGCCTCTGATGCTGCATCTAGCGCATCAAGACATATTGCGCACGCTGTGTCACCAGATCGCCGCGGAACATGATGACAACCTTGGCAGTCGCACTCATCATCCCAGTCTGCGCGACAGATAACGCAGGTAGGGTTCCGACCATCTTGTTCGCGTTGTGTGCGCCAGGCTTCGAAGCAGGATTTGTGGACGGGACGGCCGCAGCTGGATTTGCACCAGACTAGGTCTGCGGCGGGGGAGTTGGAGAGAGGACCGCCTTCGTGGCAGATTGGGCAGGGATCGGAGAGGAGGATGCGACGGGCGTGGGGACGGGTGCAAGGCTGTGGTTGGAGAGGGGATGGTGATGATGTGAGGGGATCCGTTGCGTTGTCTGCGGATGAGGGTGTAGCTGTTCTTGAGATTTGAGAGATAGAACTTGGTGGAGTGACAGTCTGAGGTGTCAATTCTGTGGAATCACTGGTGGATGAAGTTGTAGAGTCCTCGTTCGAGTCGGATGGTATCGAGGAACGTCGTGACGGCGCTGGTGAAGAAATTTCAGATACTGAGGTGCTAGTCATGGACGTTGTCTGCACTGGTGGATGATTGTTCGATAAAATCTCCAGGAGTTCGTTCGTACACCTCATCGTCTCCTGTATCATGTCGCGGAGGTTCTCAGGCTGAAGAGACGTAGTGGACGATATGGGCGATGCCGTTATGTTGGATGGCGATGAATTACTGACTGAAACCCTGCCAGTTGGAAAAGCTGCGTATATCTTGCTGCTCCACTTGTACACCATGGAATCAACCTGTTGTTGATGGTAACGTACACAGAGTCCATAGCTAGCAAGACGTTCAAGCTGAGGCCGTAGAATTGTAGGATCGGGCGGCTGTTGTGACATATCGTCCATGATTGATCTCATCATACTCCAGGACCAATAATTTATGTGTGCCAGGCATTTGCGACGCTTGGAGGGGGCGTAACCAACGCAACGATTATCATCGCAGAGACCTAGGACGTCTCTTGGGCACCATTGCTGACGGCTACGTGTGTTCGAGTCAACAAAAGGGTGCCTGGAAATGTTTAGAGTCATTTTGACGAAAGCCTGGAGAAAATATGTTAATGTAATGAATAGATGATTTGCAAAGTGTAGGACACTGAGTACCGCAACATCTCTTCAGTTATACTTGAAAGCGGCCACCATCATACAATCGATCCAACAGCTTGGCTTTTCACTGCCTAGGAGAGCATATTCCTAAGGTAAGAAGAAGGTCATGCGATGTGGCTATGCCGCCAACACATTGAAGGCGAAGCGCCAACTTTGCAGCGAACCAAGTCTAGCTTTCTGCCTACGTGGGATACTCTGGGAGAGTCGAAAGTCGAAGGATCATGATTTCCAAACATTGTAAGCTTTAGAACGAGGCTGTGCGTTTCCACATTAATGCATGCAGTCTGTAATAGTAAGGTAGCACAAGATTTTGGTGAGGCTGATGCGGCGTAGTCATAACACGCGGTCACCCGACACATTGAGCGTTTCGACGCTTGCTCGCTCCTATGCGTCTATTGGTGCAATTCTCAGCCGAGACAAGTTTGACAAAACTTTGTTCTGTAATGGCTGCTAGCTCAGCGTGGGGAAATTCTTGGAACTTACGTCGGCCGATAAGGAAACTTCCGTTGCGTAATACTATGGACTTGCACTACTGTACTGCCGCACTTGTTCCGTCCCTCATGAGTCCTATTGCTCGTGTCAGATCCTCTGTGATATCATGGTCCCAGATCCAGTTCATCCTAGTCAATGCATTTTGCTTGAGTGCTTCAAGGTCATCTCCTACGCCTTCTCCTTCAAGTTCCCACAGCATGCCGGCTTCGCGACTTGTCTTGACGAGTTTCTGGCTGCGTGGTCTCCTCACCGCATCGTATGCGTGAAAAGCCTTCGCAATGTCGCTTTTTGAGGTACATTGAGACAGCAGTTCACTGAGGATGTAGACGTCCTCGATGCCCATTCCAGCGCCCGCCCCTTGGTGAGGTGTCGAAGCATGGGCTGCATCGCCGACAAGACATAGGAGTGGCTTGGTAGAGTAGTAAGTTGGCGCGGGTGGATGATCAAAGAGTGCCCAAATATCAGGCTTCTGTAGGTTCTCCATGATGGTGCGCACAGCGGGATTCCAGTGTTTGTAGTCGTTCAACATGTCTTCACGAGTCGTCTGCACTACCCATTCTGGTTGGTCCCATGTGGGGCGAGAAGAGAAGGCTACCACTATTGATGTCTTAGCCCGAGTAATTGCGAAAACCAGATGAACCGCTTACCGTTAAAGAGTGTTCCGTTTGCGATGGGAAAGGTAAGTACATGACCACGATAACCCATGTAGAGCTGCGGCGTCTCCGGTGTACCTTTGCCCATTATATCGATAGCCTTGGCCATGGGTATTAGCCCACGGTAGGCGTACTTCCCGGAAAAGACGGTTTTTGATGCCATAGAGTCGCCGAGCAGTATAGATCGCGTGCGCGATTTGATTCCATCGCATCCCAGTACAGCGTCATGCAGTGCCGTTGATCCATCAGTGAAATGAAGAATCACCTTTCCTGAACCATACTCTGCTTCTGTGATGTTTTGCAATCTCTTTCTGAATTGCGCAATACCCTCCGGCAGCAACTTGACTAGTTCATTCAAGAAATGCGCCCGGTGCACCCCTCCTCGAGGGCCTGTCCTTGCTGGCATAACGAAGACCTCCTCCCCTGATGTAACGTCTTTCTTCCGCTCGTCGCCAACCCTCACAGTAAACCACCGCGGTGGTTCCGTCGCCGTATTTCCTTTGCTGCACTTCTCAAATGCAGCTGCAATGCGTGGATCGATGAGTCCCATGGTGCGAACCATGACGGGTTCAAAACCAACCCCTGCACCTATCTCCCCGAATTCGTTGGCAGACTCATAGAGTGTGACAAGAATGTGTGGGCAATTTTTCAGCATCGCGATAGCGAGTGTGAGGCCTGCTATGCCACCCCCGACCACTGCAATGCTGAGGGGATCCGCTGCGGCCGCCATGATGCCCAACTGGAAAAAAATCCTTGCGTGATAGTATGCTGATGTGATGCTCGATGCGAGAGACCAATCGGACCAAAATGTCAGGATATTGGTGAGTGATGTTTCCTTTTGCCACTCGTCTTTGCACTATTAGAAACAGGTGCGGTACTGTAATAGAAGGGCCTATGGAAAAGTTATCATGCCACCGGGAGTAAACGCTTAGACGCGATATTGGGTACCCGGCCATATGCAGCACACTCTCCCTGTAACTATCTAACTGGGTAGGGATTTAGAAACGATGCGCTAAATTTTAGTGCTGCTCCTGACAAGCATTAGTACACCCCGGCTACTGCACCCAGGTACTGATCAGACCCGAGTGGTGGATTTCCGGGTTGTCAGGGTCAGGGCGAGAATAACTTTGGTACTTGTGTGACGTCTGACACGTTTGGAACACGAGAGTATGCAGTGTGTATCTATTATTATTATCTTTTTTTTTCTCTAGAATGCAGCGCTTGACATTACTCCCGAACGACCTTGACATCCGTAGTGACGGTGATGCCCTCGAAAACAAGGTCCTCACTTCCGCTCTCACTACTTCGAGGCCGGCTCGTCGTAATGTGTGCTACTGTTTTTTTGCCCTCCATGATGTGTTCCTGGCTCTCGCTAGGGCTGATGTCTGCATATGTGTCTGGCCGCCCCCTGCTCCCGCTCTTAACATTGCCCATGGCATAGGAATGGGAGGTGTCCGTTCCTCCTGGTCCCCTTGCCGCACTGAGAGCATTGCCTGTAGGTCTGCTGTTGCCATACTGCTGATACCCACTGCTTGCCCCCCTGGTACTTCTCCATTTTCTGGGCCACAATGCCGCGATAGTTTTGCGCAGACTAATCAGACATGCGCAAATGACGCCAGTCGCAGCTTCGATGAAGCTCCATAGATTTGTTGGAGCAGACTCCCAGGTGGGGTCCTTGGTTCTGAGGGTCAACGGCAGCGTTCCCATGCGAAGAGCGGTCGTTAAGCAGATGAAGAAACCCATGGAGAAGAGGACTACAAGGCCAACTCGTGAGCCCAGAGACATGTTGAGGCGCACGATGATTGGCATTGGAAGGATGAATATTGCGATGTCAGTGATGAGATTTGTGATTGCGTTGGACCAGCTGTGAAGATAGTCAGTACTGGTCATACAAACGTCTGGTGTAGTCCTTACCGGTGTCCAAAGAAGCTGATACATGTTCCTGGTATTGAACGATCGTACACGCGGGCTATCGGTGTACATTGGAAGATCACAACGAATATGTATGATATCGTCCATCCAACTGATACCGCACCGAAGATCTTGCAGATCAGTCGAAAGCGGGGCATGGGGAACACGCGGTAGTACAAGGCAATGAAAGCCATTTTGTTGAAGCCATTCGTCAGAGTGTAGAAGACTTGCGTGAGCCAGAAGAACTGCAGACAGCCTGTCAGCTGGTTTTCAAAGTCATTACATCCACTTCACTGACCTTGATCGCCTTCTTAAAGTTACCGCCAGACTTTTCTATGTCGGCACCTTTCAGTCCAAATCCATAGATTGTAGCCATATAGACGCATATGGCGAAGGCTATCAGCCACATCTGTCTTCTGTCAGTGTCTGTCTGCAGAACTCGCACTCAAACACTTACGTTTGCTGTAATGACCAGTGCATCTTCGATCCCCAACCAGCCCCTATTCTTGAATGTGATGGACAAGCGACATATCAAGAGAATGGTAGCGATGGAGGTCAAGGTTACAGTAACCCATCGCAAGTCATGTTGCTCACCCGGATAGGCGCTGTACATTCTCGTTTGAGCGGTGAAGTCTTACAGGCGGCCGAACCAAAGGCATGCGGAGATCGACAGAGCATCTAGTCATTCAGGTAGACTTATAGCAGATCCCTTGCTTCTCATTGACAGTTGTGCTGGAAATGCCCAGCGTTTTGTCTCCACGGGTGATAATATCTAGTTTGGGCTGTACCGGTCTGTGCATAGACTTCCTCGTTCCACTATGCATGACAAGGTATACACACTTATTTATGTAGCATAGCCTCTTCACAGCTGGGACTACGGCTTGCGCTTCAAGTTCCGCAATGCGCTATACCCATCGCAATACATGCCTGGTACACGCCCAAAACCGGACCGTTTCTTACATTGAAATCCTTCGAATGACTGTGCAGCAGAGACCAAATTTTTCTAACAAATGGAACACTTCGGAACCAATGATGATTTCCGGGTGGAATCCTTCCGTATGTAGGTACCCACTATGGCTGGTAGCTGAAGGAGCACCTTACTGGAAGGGAAGGCTTGAAAGAAAGGCCGAGCGGCCTTATATGACCTTGGCCGCATCGCTTGCTGTGGGTTTCGCATAGGGTTCTGGAGTACGGAGCGGAACGCATTCTCTATTTCGCCGAACACGAGATTGCGCAGCAGAATCCTTGCACCCGCACGGTGGTGTCGTTTGGTTTTGCACAAGGAGAGCCTCGTGGCGCTCCCGCCCTCACCCATTGAAATCTATGACGAAAACATTTCAGCTGTGTTTCCATGTCACCTATAAGAATCCTATAGGGACAGATAAGCTCAGGGTGGCGTACTCTAGACGGAGAATTTCAGGCGGACGGAAGAATAGTAAGTTTAACTACTGTTACACCTTTTGCCCGGGCCGTCGCGTGGGGATGAACAAGCCGCTCCGGCGGGATGGGACATTTCTACTCCGACCCGCGATTTTGGCGTTTACCAAGACATGGCGCTGCACTATTGACAGTCAGACACGATATACCGTACTTCTACCGAAGGTGATTGGCGAATGAGCCGCTGGGTCGGGTACTGATCGTAAATCAGCATGATAGACGGAGGTCCAGGCCTTGAAGCATCTGATGCCGAACCCTGAAGAGCTCGGCAGCGAGAAAAGTGGCTCGTTAATACACCACCAACGAATGAGCGACTGGCATACTAATGCGGTGAGTGATCCGTAGCATGGTTAGTTGTCGAATCTCCTTGCAGCACCCCCGAATATCACCCCATCTTTTGAACGCTTGGGGGTACTTCGGTGCTTCTAGAACAGCAAGACCATCTCAATCCAAACCGTTCGCCGTTGGTATCTCGCTTGGAGATTTTACCTCAGTTTTTGTCCTGCACGCGGCTAAATGCCATGTGTTTGGGGTTGGCCATTATCTTCTGCAGTCGCCCCTGTCCTTGCTTGCATTGCAGGCCTGCTGGTTACTCAAGACACAGTATTGTGCAGCTATAATCTACGGCCTTACCCCGCCTAACCTCTGCAATCACCATCTACAATGGCCGAACCCAGCTCAATCGAAAAAGGCGCCTTCGTCAAGGGCTCATCCGTGTCTTCGCCTGGTTCGACGACCGAAGAAGTCTCTTTTGATCCCGCTGCTGAGCGCAAGCTTTTGCGAAAGCTCGACATCAGGATCTTGCCTGTACTATGGATCCTCTATCTTGTCAACTTCATCGACCGGTAGGATTTCTCTCTCATCTCTCACCTGCAAAACTAACTCAATTCTCCAGCGCCAACATTGGAAATGCGAAAATCGCGGGCATGGAGAAGGAGCTGAACCTCATCGGCCAGCGCTTCAACATCTGTGTGTGGGTCTTTAACCTTGGCTACCTTGTTGCTGGTATTCCGCTTCAAATTGCCTTCAAGCATTATGGGCCAAAATCCCTCTGTGTCATGATGTTCTTTTGGGGCATCACAGTCATCGGACAGGGAAATGTCAAGCGATGGGAAGAAATGGTTGTTTGCCGTCTGCTCACTGGCTTCGCTGAAGCGGCCTTCATCTCTGGCTGTGCCTATCTGATCGGCGCATACTACTCCAAGCGCGAGTATCTTACACGCTATGTCTACTTCCTTACGGCCGGTATCATCGCCGGTGCTATCAACGGATTTCTCTCGTCGTTGATCTCTAAGATGAGCGGTACTGCTGGCTATGCTGCATGGCGATGGTAAGTCGACTTTGCGCATGCATTTGAGCGGCAGTTACTAACTCGAAAAAGGATTTTTATCATCGAAGGTTGCATTACAGTCTTCATCAGCATCATCACCTGGCCATTTATTCCTCCGTTCCCGGAAGACTGCAACTTCTTGTCTCCTGAAGAAAAGGCTCTTATGCTTGCACGAGTGAAGGCTGATGGAGGCCATGTGTCTGACGATGAAATCACACTCAAGAAGGCTCTCGAGTACTTGAAAGACTGGAAGATATGGACTGGGTAAGCTAATCTCGTTCAATTGCTTGAACGCCAATACTGACAAACCGACAGTGTCGCAATGAACCTCGGAGTCACAGAAAACGCAAACTCGCTCGCCAACTTCCAGCCGACTATCCTCAAAGGCCTCGGCTACACTGCGATCCAGGCTCAAGTCCACACCATCCCCGTATACCTGGTCGGTGCTGCCTTCTCCGTCATCTTCGCTTATGCAAGTGAGCGTCTGCAGCGCCGCTACCTTTTTTACATCTTTGGCTGGGCGGTTCTCGCAGTTGGTCTCATCGTTGAGATTGCACACCCGCCAAACCCCAAGGTACGATATATGGGCATGTTCTTCATCGCATGCGGCTGCTACCTCGCCATGCCCATCTCCATCATCTGGGTCTCTATGAACTGCGGCAGCGGCTACAAGCGCGCCGTAGCCATCGCCGCAATCATCAACTTTGGCACCGCCGGCGCCTTCGTCAGCTCCAACGTTTTCCTCTTCAACGAAGCCCCCCGGTTCCGTACTGGTTTCAGCACTGGTCTCGGTCTAGCCTGCTTGGGTGCCATTGCCGCGACCATAACCTGGTACGGCTGCAAGAAGGAGAACAAGAGGCGCGACCAAAAGAGGCTCGAGTTGCCCGAGGTCTTGGATCAGAGCATGAAGGAGTTGGGCGACGAGCACCCAGACTTCCGCTTTGCCTTGTAGACAGTTTTTCCCAGAAATCAGTGTAGCTGGCTACTTATCATTAGATAATTATACTACCGCTCACCGCGGCAACACAACATAATAGACCTAGAATAGAGCATATAAATATATCAAGCAGATTGTGCTCCCCATGTTTGGGTCGCAATCTTGCGAAAATTGAATAAACTGAATCTTGAAAGATATTGATTGGAAGGGGCGAGACTCTTGATGTGCAGCAGTACTTGCATGGCGCTAAGACGGAACGCAGTCGCACGGTACACCCTTTGGACTCGCGCGAACCACTCATAAAAATGGCTCATGCACATCGTGCTGTACACATGTAATAAACCAGAGTAAGCACGGGGACTGGTTTCATCACGGCCGTACGCTATGTGTGCGATGTGGGCTATGCATAGTATGAAAACTGGAGGCTCCTGTGGATCTTGAAAGCATGTGTGGGGTGGTTGATGAATACGAAAACATGGGGATTTGTATTAAATAAAAAAAAAAAAAAAAAAAAAAAAAAAAACCCCCCGGTCAAATTATGCATTAAATAAAATTGGGGTATACACTGTGAAAATGCAAAACGTGCACCAAAAAATGGAAACTAGTCTCAGTAATCTACATAATATGTTGCCCAAATAGAAATGGTTGCGTAGTACTGTTGAGTATTGCACGGCCATCCTAGCCTGGCATTTTTTAGTCGTGTTTGGTGTACACTTTGACATATCTGATATGCTCGTTGCCCTGGGCATCTTCGTAGCGCTGACTGACGATTTTGTAGCCTCCGAGCTTTGGCCATAGCTTTGTCCAGCAGAACCAGTAGAATACACCCAGGAGTAGTACGCTGACACCGACAACGGGGAACACGTAGTAGGGGTAGCCTTCGGCATTCCAGTCGCCATCCGGTGGGATAAAGGGGACAATTGCGAGGAAGATATTTGCGGCCAAGTAGAGCAGAGCAATGGGAAGGTAGGTGTGCCATGGAGATTCCCAGCGCTCCGACTTGGAATAGTGGAGGTAGATGAGACCTGCCGTGACGAAACCGTTGATCCAGGCGCCAGGGTAGGTGTAAAGATCCGTGATAAAGTTGTATGCGGGTCCAGCGGGAGGAGCAACCAGAATGATGACGGTGATAAGCCAATGCAGGAACAAAGCAGTCGCAGGAGCGTTGAATGGCTTATTTGATGCCCAAAATCGGCTCCAAGGCAACAATCCTTCCTTTGCAAATTCCTGGTTCAAGCGAGCATGCGCAAAGCTGACTGCAAGAACATTACCCAGATTGCTGAGTGCGACGAAAGCTGGAAGACTGCGTGCTCCAGCGCTGTTACCAAAGACATTGCGGAAGAAGAGACCGGCGACAATGACTTCACTCTTTGCAAGGTCGGACTTGGGAATCGCGGCAAAGTAAGCTACGTTCGCAAGCACGTACAGAATCGTGGTTCCGCCAATAGCAAGAGGTGCGGACCAGCTAAGAGTCTTCTTGGGGTTCCTGACTTCTCCGAGGACATAGTTGGCGTTCTCCCAGCCCTTGTATGAGTAGATGATGCGAAGGAGTGCTTGACAGTATCCGTATGCGCCTCCTCCACCATATCCGTCGCCGACTTCCAGGCGGAATGCATTATCGAAGTTGTTCGGTTTCTCGATCTTCAGGTGACCGGCAAGGGCAGCGAAGCCAGAAAAGACAATGAACAAAAGGATGAAGACCTTGAATATTCCTAGGACGTTAAAAAGGCGGATACCCCATTTTGGCAAGACAGCATGGAGAGTGACCGAGAAGGTTACGCAGGCAATGGCAATACCACGCGCCGCCCAGCCATCAGGCGCTTCTGAACCAGATGCAAAAAGAACGTAACGGCCAAAAGCCAGCGAGTTTCCGGATGAAAATCCAAGAAGCAACATCTGCGCGGCCAAAACACATGTTGCCATGTACTTGGGATGGCGGTAAACGCGCTCGAGATAGTTCTTTTCGCCACCGGAGCGGGGGATTGCCAGTCCAAATTCTAGGAAGACGGAGAGTCCGCAAAAAGTAAGGATACCACCAATGATCCAGAGAAAAAGCGATACACCGACCGATCCCGTCACGGCGAAGATACCGGAAGGTGTTGAGAAGACTGATCACAGTTAGTTACATGCTGATATTGTGCGACTGGCTGTACTTACTTCCAGTGCCGATCATCTTGTTCAGAATGACAAACACCGTCGCCGTGTATCCCAGCTTCTGCGAATCATCGTAGACATAGGCATTGTCTTCTTGGACGCTACCGTCCTCGTACACCGGGGGTGAGGGCGAGGACGGTGAGTCCTCGTTGGTGTAATGCACCACCTTCGTTCCGTCGTCGTGCTCGATCGCCATGATTGGGGTTGAAGTGCAGCGACTATGCTTGCAGAGCAGAGCCCGCAAGTTAAATGCAAGGTTACATGGTGACGCGATAGTGTGGCTCAAGGATGCCACGCGAGATAGATTACGATTTTTTCTTTTCTATGTCGCAATCAACATAACAAGTGAGATTTTGGGGCGTGAATGTCTTGCGGTGCCAGGAGTCCGCTCGTTCCAAGACCCTGGATGGGGAAGGTGAGCCAATTCCATGGGTTCAAGTCTCTTGGTATACCTTCTCGGCCACACGCATCATCGAACCGTGCGATGTCGTGATTTCTGGGCACTATTAGCTTGTCGCGCTCACTTCTTGGCGTTAACGAACTGCTTTTAGCCACTCGTTATCGCAGTAGCGACTGCCTTAAGAGGGCTGTTCACCAACAAATGGCCATGTGCCAGGACGTCGGCGTGGCCGTTTAGCTATGATGGGCGCTGACGGTGCGAGGCGCGAACATCAGTCACATGCGACGCATTCTTGGCAGCTCATCGATCAGATATGTAACGTAGGATCGTGTTGAGACGTGCTGCTACCCTACGCCAGCTTGCAACAGGATTGTGGAAGCGGAGTGGTGTTGGTGTTTCGGTGGAGATGGAGATGGAGTCTGCACACCCTCTCGGTAAGCCTCCGAATTAGTCTCTCCAACACATTTATGGTTTCCGTCTGCAAGACTAGACATGCCGAGAAACCTGCCAGGACTAATCATGTGAAGTACCCACAGTAAGCTCAGCTCACACTTACACAAGGTGCGTGAACCTAGAAAAAGGTAATAGTGCATTTGATGCTAGCTCCTCGATGCATATGTAGACTAACAGACTCCCTTACTAGTACCTATTCCAAACACCTAGTTTTACTACCAGTTTACTCTCTGTTTTCTTGCTTCACCAGGCGACCAAGAGACGGCGCTCTCGCCCAGTACTGCGAGCGCATGGCTACTCGATACACACCGCTACCAATGCATCGGCTTTACTGCGACATAACAAAGTTCTACTGCTTACAGAACACCTGATGGAAATTTGCCTTGTAAGCACTAGTGCGCCATTCTGCCGCGACTCGGACTTCTCGACCGACCACGCAGTAAGATAGCTCATTTAGAAGAAACTCGACAATGTCACCGCGAAGCCGAAGCGATTAAACTCAAGGATATTCGCTTGACCCATGTCACACATCGTCTATGACTGGCCTGAAAACAGCTATCAAGTCTGACCGCTACCTGTGTTAGATTCGGGCGCACCGCAGTGTCGTTAAGCGCAGGTACCATAGAAGCTTACCCTAATGCTTGGACGACGCCACAAAAGGTTTCATGGCAATGCATGGTTTGCGTTCAATTTCTGACCATGATAGCAGCAGCCCGAATGTTTTCAAGTATTCGATACCTCGCATCATCAGTTCTTCATCAAACCATGAAATCGTTTTCCGGTTCTCCTATCATCTGGGCTCATTGGTGGATTATCTCCACCCTCCCTTCCCCAAACTTCCCCTGTTTTTCCGCATAGGCCATCCCCGCGTTTACGAACTTAGATCTACCGTAATAGCAGGTATTGGTCGGAAATTCAACTAGAGGATTACTTGCAGTTAGAGTCACTCCAAATTACCGGAACTATGATGATCAAACGGAACATGGTAAACCATGATAGCCGCAAGTATACGAGACCGAATTACTTTAAAAGGAACGCCAGCCAAGCCTCAAAGCGTACCACAGCAGATCGAATCTTGCAATGCAAACTCCCAAGATGCGATTGGCGATGATATTCGCTGGCTTCTTCCAGGTGTGTGCTGCCATACCAGCAGCCAACCGAAAAGCATGCCAGTATCCCACCCCAAAACCTCTCGACGGATGTCCACAAAACACGCTCCTCGTCGGAAAAGGAAGCAACTTCTCAACCATCCAATCCGCCGTCCTAAGCCTCCCACACGACGAAACCCCCTACAACATCCTCATCCTCCCCGGCACCTACACTGAACAAGTCAACATCACACGCCCCGGCCCCGTCTATCTCCTCGGCCAAACCGCGCAGCCAGAAACGCGAACTAAAAACACCGTCAACATCCTCTGGCACAACGCCACGGGCGCCGGTCTCTCGACCCTCGACAACGCCTACACCTCGGTCCTAACCGTCGCCCCAACCTTCAACGCCAGCCTCACCGGCACAGGCCCCACGGGCTTCCCCGTCCCCGCAACCACCCCATTCGGCAACACCGACTTCCGCGCCTACAACCTAAACTTCACAAACGACTACCTACCCTATGCCGCGGGCCCTTCCCTGGCAATCTCCGTCAGCTACGCAAACAGTGGTTTTTACTACTGCGCATTCCATTCCTACCAAGATACACTGTACATTGGCAAACTCGGCAACGCATACATCTACGACTCTGAAATCGCGGGCCAGACTGATTTCCTGTACGGGTTTGGTACCGCGTGGATCCAGTCTAGTCTCCTTACGCTACGCGGCTGCGGCGGCGGGATTACGGCGTGGAAGGGGACGAACACGACGTTTGAGAATCGGTACGGGGTGTATATCCACGATTCGCAGCTCAGAAAAGAAAACGATACGCTAGCTATCCAGGGCAAGTGCGCCTTGGGACGGCCCTGGAATGCGCTGCACCGGTCTCTCTTTGCGAATTGCGACATGGATGATTCGGTATTGCCGGCGGGGTACATACGGTGGAGTACGGGGGATCCGCGTGTGGGCGTTAATACGACCATGGCCGAGTATAAGAGTTATGGGCCGGGGTGGAATGAGACAGCACGGAGGCAGAGTAATGTTACTGTTGTGCTTGGGGAGAGGGAGTATAGGGATTATAAGAGGGTGGAGACGGTGTTTCAGTATCCGTTTTCGGGCGAGTTTGGGAATACCGAGTGGATTGATCGGAGTCCGGGGCGGTAAGATGGGAAATGGTCTTGGGATGTATATATGATAGGACAACGCATGAGCAAGGACTAGCAATGTAAGATCAATAGTAGCATTTTTCTCACATACTAGTAATACGCCACCTCAAGCTTCTTTAGAGACGTTCTTGACATCCTTCCATTTGAGTCCTTCAGGCAAAATCTTCCACTGCCGCTCCTCATCAAGCAGCGCCTCCATCTTCCCCCATTCCTCTCTAATCAGCGTAACCTTCTCCTTGTTTCTCGGCGTAATACTAGCTGGGAACGGCTTCGGCTGAGAAAGCGTTCCCTCTGTCAGATCTTCCGGATCTGGAATGATATCTTCGCCAGCTTCATTGTGGGCAGGGCGGAAGTCAAAGGCCCATAGGAGGCGCGATATGGCCAGGAACAAGGACCGTTCGGCAACATGCATGCCCTGGCACACGCGGCGTCCGGCGCCGAAGCCAAAGTGATCGCGCTTTGTGGGATCGGGATTGTTTGCTGATTCTGCGGCGGTTGACTGGTCGTGTATGTAGCGTGTTGGGTCGAAGCGGCGGGGGTCGGGATGCCGTTTGGGGTCGTTGTGAATGGCCCAGCTGTTTGGTAGGACACCTGCACCTTTTGGAATCGTATACCCCATGTATTCATCATCGCGGATTAGTCCGTGGGGTGCCCCTGAAATGACGGTTGGCATCCATCGTAAGGTCTCCTTGATGCAGCCGTGGATATACGGTAGATTTGGCCAGTCCTCGATTGTAGGAAGGCGATGGCTGCACACGCGATCAAGTTCTTCCTGCGCAGCTTTTGCTACCTCGGGAAACAAAATCATGGCTTGGGTGACTGTGATATGTTAGTTTGAGATCTGGGGTATGGAGAGAGCCCGTACAACTAACGAGCTCTGCTGCCGTTGTGTCGGAGCCAGCTTCAAGTATCGAACCGCTGATATATGCAGCGAGCTCATCTGAGATATTCTCTTCTTCTTGGGCGCGCACTAGATCTACGCAGAAACATGGTTTCGCAGTTCCAATCTTGATAGCCTTCTTGACGTCTAGCCAGAGTCCAACAAATAATTCGCTCGATTTCTCATGTAGCTGCTTGGCGTGTCTCCTCTCAGAAAGCACAGCATCCGGCAGTGATCGTAGTACGGGGTATAGATCAAGCAGTGCTGCAGATGTTTTACCATGTACCTGAGAGAACTTTTCGATTCCCTGTAGTAGCGTCAGTAACAGTTGCACTATTATATGTACAACTTACCCAGAAGAGTTGCTTCAGTTTGGGATCATCAATGCTGGGAGTCCGAAACCCAAATACCATTTGCGTTGTCAGACTGTGCGTGTAGCGTCGAAGGTGATCGATGAACAACTCTGGCATATCCAGTAGCTCAACAAGTAAAGCCTTGCTCTCAAGGTCTTGATACGGCACGTAAGACTTTGTAGCCGTGATGTTGAGATTATTGTGTACGATCTTGCGGATCATGCGCCATGGATCGCCATAAGGCTGAGTATGTCAGCATTTCTGACATTAGAATAAATGTTTAACATACCATCAGTGCGAAACGAAGACCCCCACTTGCTACTTGAGCAAGATAATGGTCAGGGCGTGACGAGTAGATTGCGCTCCTTTTATCTAGAAGATCCTTGACAGCTTGATCCGACGCAAGAACGATCAAAGTCCATGTACCAAGCATGAGCGAATAAACCGGTCCATATTCCTCCGCCCACTTCTTGAATTGCAGATGAGTTTTTTCCTTTGGCATGAGATGGAGGTTGCCGATAAGTGGTAGAGTCGGGGGTCCTGGCGGATACCCCTTTGGCCTTTGACCAACCTTACTTAGCCGATAAACGGCTGCAGCGAGTAGAGCCGCGAATATCGCATAGATTGCAGCAGCCATTGCGATGGATGACAGAGTCTGGGAGGTGCATCCAGACGCTGTGAAGGAGCCTGGAGAAGCAGTGCAGCAAGAAACTCTGGTTATATCATGATTTTCGTATCACAACCCTTCCTTCAATGGCGGGGTCAATGGTAGCGCCGAGACTGCATCACTGCCCAAAATAGACAAAGTTGCTGAAGTTGAGTGTGGAGATGTGGAGTGTAAGCATTGGCGGGCAGGGTATTGCTACTTACTCAGCTCGCCTACGTTCGTAGGCTCGCACTTGGCTGCTCTAATGCGCCTAGTAAGATGGGAGCTGAGCATGTAGAACTTCGTCATGAATCGTGTTACGTCGAGTTCTCTTGTGATTGCCTCAAATCTTTCAATTGGCGTAATGGCAAATCTAACATGGGGTGAGGTACCCTTCCGCGGAGTTGCAGTTGTAGGAGCCGTGAACATTTCTCACCACCATCTCCACTTACGTGATTTGCATATGAGAGTATGGCCAAGAAAGTACAGATAACGAGATGCGGTGCGTAAGACCGATAGTGAGATAGTAGGCAGCAGCAATGCTAATATTGAGCTTACGCCAAGCCTTCGAATTGAAGCAAACATGAGAAATCACACGCGCAATTGTTTTTTTGACTCAGCAGGAAACCCGATTGACGACCTCCTTCGCAAAGCGCAGCATCAACAAAGGTGACGAGGACATAATAAATGTCAAGATTAGAGATTACAAATTACGAAGAGTAGTAAAGACAAGAGCATGGGGTATTTGCTGACCAAAAATGAGAACACGATGTGACACAAGTCTCTGCTAATTGGTATAATATTCAATTCTCCGCGGCTTGATTCACCTGCCTTCTCGCCAACCATTGCCCCTTTTATCCTCATATGCAAAGTCAGAGAGAAACAAGGGGGGTATTCAAGCGCCCAAGGAATGAGTGAAACCAGAAAAGAAAAAGAAAAGACATTAGCCAGGTACCAGCTGCAAGCTTCTTGCGTCACCCAAAAGAAGCAAGCAAAAAACGGTCATGCATTGGTTTAGAAAAAAAAGCATGTCCATGTCTTGGCAAAAAAGAGAGATTGGCATGGCACATCAAATGCCGGGGTAGTAAACAAAGGTATCAAAACGGGAAGGGAATAATTACAAGACCAAAAGTCCCAAAACAGCAATGACAATGGCGCACACAGAGCCACTCATACGAGAGAGACCTGGTTGAACCGTTGTCGCCGCACCCGTAGAACCAGTGCTACTTCCACCCTGGACAAAGGCGCCTCCGCCAGACGAGCTTCCGCCACTGCTTCCCGCTGCCGCATCCGTAGGCTGCGCGTTGGCACCTGGTGCAGTTGGGCCAACCGTCTCACCAGCATCGTGTCCCGCGCCGCCTCCAGGGTTGCCACCGGGTACCATTGCCACGGATGCCGATGGTTGGGCGCTGCTCCCGCTCTTTACCGCCTCGCCTGGGTCCTCGCCAGTACCCATGAGGGAGCCCAGGATAACCTCGTCGTCGGTAATGGCAACCGTGTTGTTGGTTCCGGCCTTATCCGTGTACTTGTACGTCTTCTTTCCCTTGATCTGCGCCTGTGGCGGGGGGTCGTAGCACTCGATTGTGACTTCGGAAAAGCGGGCTGCGTAGTAACCGTTGACCATGTATGGGCTGTTCCAGTCAATCTCACCACCTGCCCAATCAACGGTACCTTTGGCATTGGTGGGGAGACCGGCGGGCCAGAGGGAGAGCATGACGCGGGCAGGGGTTTGCGGGTAGTCGAATCGGCCCGCAGTGCTGTTCCATGTATCGCTGCGTTCGAGCTTGCGCAATTCTTTGTCATCGACGGACCAAGTGAGTGTGTCTTCTGTCCAGTCGATACAGTACTTGTGCTCCTTCTCGACTGCGTTGCCATTGGGGACTGTCAGGTTTTTGCCATTGGTGTCTGGTATTTGTTAGTTTCATTTTGCGAAGTCGAACAAAAGGCAAAGGGGAAAACTCACAGACTGTCACGCCCTGGGAGTAATAGTTTGATTGGACGTTGTTGATGTCGGCACCCACCCACTCAAAATCAATTTCATCTTTGACGTCCGACATGAGAATGAAGGCAGTCACGACACCTTTGCCCTGTGCACTGCTGACCTTTGAGCAGATCTTGCCGTACCAGACATAGTGGGTAGATGCCAACAGTGTTCCACTTGATCCTTGAGCCATGGTCAAGAGCGTCGCCTTGCTGCCCGTAGCAGGATCAGTGTATGGGGTAGGGTCGCCTTGCGACTGCCAGTTGATCTTGGAGGCATCGCCAAGGTAATTTTCAATACGTTGAACGTCGTTGAGGCTGTCGAGCGAATAGGTTCCGGGCTTGCATACAGGGCCGGGGACGCAAGAGTCAAAGGTATTCGACATAAGCGGGTCGCATCCACCAAGGCAGAAAGCGCCGACACCGCAATCGCCATAGACTGCATGGCTGTTAGCATGCAATCGCTTAGTTTGTAGAATTGAAGCACGCACGCGAGCAGCAGGGCGTTTCTTTTGGGCAATGGCTATCCTTTGTGCATTTGGCACCGGCTGCGTTGGCGAAGCCTGCAAACGCAGCAGCAGCAATTGCGGCAGAGACGACGGCTCGGACCATGATTCCGATTCCCTTGTGCAGTTGTCGATATGGTAATGGTAAGCTGACGCGCAGTGGAGTCGGACCGCGGTCAAAAGGCTATCGCAAATGTTCGCGGGGAACGCTTTGCCAGGGTTTTGGCGATGACGACCGTAAGCACGATGGCGATCCGCGTGAAGGCCCGTTCCGAGAGCAAAAGGTGTGGAGAGGAATACGACGATTAATTAGTGCCCTGACTACTATCCTATGGCCCCGTCTCGAGTAGCGAGCGTTGGTGGCAGATGCAAAAAAGAAAGAAAGCACAACGGCGGGTTGGTAAAGCGAGAGTGGTCCCGAGGGGGGGAGAGGAGTAGAGAACGGGCATGAATGGGCGGCCAGCTTCCTCTTGAAGAAGGAAGGGGTTACTCTGGGGTACGAGGTGGCGCATCAATATGGAATTGCGCCATGCCCCTTGCGGCCTCTGACTAGCCGCTTGAGTCGGCCGATGAATCCCTTGAGTGTTAGCGACCCAGCCGTCCACGCCAGCAGCCCGTCCCAGGCCCTCGATGCTGCCAATGGCGAGCGGCGCGTTTCGTCTTTTGCGCTGATGACTTGCCTTGGACACGGCATGTTACATACCGGCGGATTTCAACGTCTTCGTGCTACCGTGTCATTGCCGCCCTGCATTGGTTCTCTCGCTGCAGATACTGACTGCCCACAGTACCACTAGCGCCTTCACAATCGATACGCCCTATGTTTGGAACACCCTGCAGCAACCACCCGACCCGCTCCACCTGCATCCCTGCCATCACGCTTGAAGGACCAGGCCTTCGACTTCTAGACGACGTCACTACGAGTAACCCAGGGTGCGGTTGCGCCCATCGTGAGACCTCATTTCAGTTTTTTTTTCGCGTGTTGAGTTTCTGTCTCTTGGCCGGATCTTGGTCGAAACCGAGCACGTGCTCAGCCGAGGAGCGCGTGCGTGTGCGTGATATATCCTCCACCCCATGACCAGCAAACCTTGCATACATGCAATAGCGCTGCCATGCAAGCACCCCAACGCCGTCTCTTCGGCATATTTGACACATTGCCACTAATCACGCTAAAGTTTCGAAACAGAAACAGCAATCGGCTCACATGCCGCACTTGTTACAAAAAACGAAGCCGCCTCAATACACTACGACTTAGCTACTTACCCCTAGGCCATGTTTTCATCGTTGCGCCCATGTCACTACTCGAATACTACCAAGTCTACTGTAGTATCCTCCAAGACTGGATTCATATTTGGGGCTTCCAGCACCACACTAAATGCGTATTCCCCGCACTTCATCCCCGTGCTCTTGGTGGACCAAAATACCCGGATTAAAACTGACCCCACCCAAATAGCGCACCCTCAATACGATGCAACTACCAGCTAGTATTGTACAACTAGACGGGCTTTCTTCTTGTAGTATATTAATCTGCATGTAAGCTTTTAGCACTTTAGTATATAGGACTAACTTTCCAAGTACGTGGTAGTAAAGGTAGCTAACTGCAAACAGCGGCTTTATTTCGATTGGGCTTACTTTTCATCACAGTATTTTACTTAGTCCACCAAGTCCCCATGTACTTGGCTCAAGAATCCACTGCGGGGAATACAGTGGCTCTCCTTGACCGGGGTTGAGGCATTGACCCAAGCCTATCCCACCCTGGTTTATTGGTAGCGGGAGATCAGATAAACATGAAAAAGAATAGTACACTTCTGTGGGAATTGGTGCTGCCATTGATCTGTGTCTTGCTTTGGCAGTTGGGTACCTAAGAAAATGAAGAAGAATTATCTGAAAGACAAAGTAGGTTTAACAATGCGATATGTGACTTCATTGCAATGAATTGTCTGCGGAATGAGTGCGAGAAGTTATAGTAACACATGAGCGGAAGGAGTTGCAAGTGGCTGTTTGGCTGAAGAAGACAATGGGTATACCTGGCTACATAATGAGCTTACCGGCCACCAATTGAGGAACTAATCCGCAAAGTATTGGATTCATGGACTATCTAAAAAAGGAGAAGTCCTAAAACATTCATTCGTGTATTCTGAAACCTGACGATAGTATACATTGAGTAGAAAGGGATATCCCACTGCCTGTCTACACACGGCAAGCTGATAGTCACATGACATAGGTTACCTTGGCGGCGCTGGTCTTAATGGGACGCATAGTACATATCAAGATCAAGACAATTAAAATGAGAACACCTATACGAACTTTCGATGGACGACATGTCCCATGTCCTACTCTCGCTCAAAGCACGTGACCGTATCATTCATAGCCACAACAGTAGCCTCCATCAACGTACACTTGCCACTCATTAGATGTGAGCCATCGAACCATGCACAATGAATCGCCGTATGTGAAAATCATCGCACTGGGGCCATACCGGCCCCTGTTCGGCAACCCCAAAATGTCTCGCCAGTCAGCCTCGGTACTTTGCCTGCGCTTATCCCTTCCTGAACTTGCTCTACCCACGACTCTCACCCCAGATTCAAACTCCAAGATCGACGCGTTGACTCTCCACACCACAATCCTGAATGTCGTACCTCCTCCACGGCAGCACATCTTATACTGGAATGGGCTGGGTCGACCTGGTACCCCGCTGCGGTCGTATCTACATTGGCGGCTTATACGCTTTGTACCAGACCGACCTCATCGAAGCAGCGGGCATAACACACGTACTATCGGTCATCGACTACGACGCATTGCTCCAAGAGAAATTCCGGCACCTGAGACATTTCCATATCCATGCCGAGGATCATCCCAACACCAATCTCTTGCAGTTTTTCGAGGGTGGTGTCAAATACATCGATGAGGCGCTAACCTCTTCCCCGCTGACTCCTGGCAAGCCTCAAGCCGCGGATGCTAAGATCTCACCCTCAAAAGGGGGGAATGTCGCGTCCGGGGGTGGCGTATTCGTGCACTGTGCAATGGGCAAGTCACGGTCCGCCACTCTTGTCTGCGCGTACTTGATTTGGAAATACAACATCTCCCCTGAAGCGGCGTTGGAGCAATTATGCGAGGGAAGGCCGATTTGCGATCCGAATCCTGGTTTCAAAGAGCAGTTGGAGGTTTGGAGCGCAATGTGCCGTGCTGGAAGTGCGGAAGAGAAGAGGAGGATATATGAGCGCTGGGAAAAGGATCGGTTTACTGGTGAAGTATGGGATTGGGAGACTCGAGTGAAGGAACAGGAAAGCAAGAAAGCCATGAGTCTTCAAGCTTCGAAGCTTTAGGCATTGATGAATTACACATTGTATGGATGGGCTAAGAAAAGAACGAAGGTGTCCCATCGACTCGGGCTCATGCTTTGAATGACCTTGCAACTTTGTTCTTTGGACGGAAACAGGGCAACCACTCTTTCAGAGCCTTTTTGAAAAGATCCCGGCTGGTGACTGAATCGGGGACGATAGTGAAACCAAGTCCCGGTGTGTTGAAATCAGACGCATGGACCCCACCTTTTACCACCTTACCAAACACCTTATCTTTCCCAGTACTCACTCCGCATTTGGGAATATCCTGCGTAATCTCGATTTTTGGAGCGTTGGGCTGTTGAGATAGAGGACCGGTAGGAAGCCAAGGATCGAATTCTCCACCTGACCAGTATGTGTTTGAAGGGCGTATATACCATCCTCCCAAGGCCTCGTTGAATTCCTGCACCTTGGGCCACTCTGGGAATACAGAAGGCGGTGGGTAGTTGAAAAGTTGATGACAGCTATCGTGCACTAGCTTTAGACTGACATACTTGGAAGCCAACTGGTGAGGCCCAATATTGGCGGATTGAAAGTACCCTGTGTTTGGTCAGTACTAGCTAAGAATATCGAGGAGACAGCTGTGACATACCCCATTCAGTGCAAGCCTGCCACCTCCAGGAAACATAGTTAGGGTCTACCGTCTGATCATCAGACGAGCAATTGTTTGAACTTGTCCCATTGTTTGCGCATTGCGCATTGGCCGCAGCGTTGAGATTCCCGCGGTAGACAGCCCACTTGTCCACCACCGATTTGACACCCTTGGTCGGTGCCCAGCCATCCTTTGGTGCCGTCCGGTTTGTCCTAGGATCCGTCTCCAGCATATCACAGAATTTCCGGAGGGAGAAACTGTGGCCGTTCATGCCGTATCTCTGCCAGTCGTTATACAAATCCTCCAATGCCCAGACGAAATCCGAATTCGAGGCGTTACCATTGCCAACACCGAGAAATTGTTCTTTGAGTTTGGCAGTAGCTTGCGGGTTCGTGTCCATGATGTGGTCTATATATTGGATCGCAGCGTGTATGTCCTGACTACAGTTCCCAAAGCCGTAGTAGTTCATTCCAGCCCATATTGCATCGAAATAAGAACTCAAATCGACCATGCCCTCAACGGTAGGTGACGCGGCCCAGGATGCATAGATGCTATCTGGGTATTTGTTGCGCACCCAAGCAGCTCTTCCTCCTGAGTACGAGGCGCCAATGAAAACCCACGGCGTGTGATCGGCAGAGAGTGTCGCATTGATATAAGGCAAGCTGAACTGCTTCGCAAAAGCGTCAACATCCGCAAGTGCCTGTTCAACAGTTAAGTATTTGAAGCGGTCCAGTGACGTATCGTTGTGAAATCCTGCGGGTACCGACTTGCCATACATTCGGTGTTCCCAGGCAATGCCGATGCCATTGAATTCTTCTACAATCTGGTGGAAGAAGCTACGTGGGTCGCTTGGAAAGAATACGCTGCCTGGCTCAGCATCGCTTTCACCAGTGTCATAGATGAAAACGGGACCGCCTGGTTTGTACTTTTCCGAATAGACCCAGTATCTGTTGGGAAATGTACCTGCGTCCGGTCCAAAGTGATTAAGAGGGAGTTCGACAGTCCTCGCATCGACTGGTGGAGGTTGAGTGTCTCGTGAATTAACGGATTTGGAACTTCCAGTGCCCAAATCAAGGCCCATGTAGGCCAAAGGGGCCCTGGTCTGCATGCGTACTCCCCAAGCATTTGTCCCTTGCCCCAGCGCAAGCATGAGCGCCGCTGTCGATGCCAAAGACCGCATTTTTTTTTCCGATAAGGTTTCCTAAACGAGTGAAAGAATTAAACAAAGCGAACCAATTCGTCCGATAGTAAATAACGAGTGGAATCGAATCCTCACAGACCCGGCGCAGATCTCCAAACACCGCGACAAAAGAGCGATCGTCTAAGAAAAGCAAAAAGGGCGACTCCACCTTACATATAGATCGCAGAGGGAAGACTGCAACCTCAGTTCACTCCTATTTCAATTCCCGAATCGGAAACGAACTCTCACATAAGCCCTAGTAGTACAATTGCGCTGACGCCCGCCATCTTCCGGGCAAAGCCGCAAAGGGTCCTCCATCTTCCACCCTGCACTGACAATCAACATGCCTTGAAATCGAAATGCAAGGACTACGTATGGTCGCAGGCTGAAATTATGTATCCAGCCCATTGGTTAAAAGGTGGTACAGGTCGCGGTGGTGGGTAAGAACTATCTTACACGCCGAATAGCATCCGTTGAAATTGCCAATAATAACATGTCATTTTTCGCCAGTGAACGGCAGGAAGAGCTATCCCGTGTAGATCTGAATCATCATCTTCGCGTCTGTAGATACGTACGAGGATTCCCCCGGTAAGCGCAGTAGATCGCTGACATGCATTACGAAGTAAAGTTTGCTAGCATTGGTTGCGGATGCGAGATCTTGGCTACGCGCCTTGCAAAGCTTATTTTGCAATGCGGCTCGAGCATAGATGGATGCTAAGCTTGCTGTTGGAAGTGCAGATTAACGTCTGGTGATCTCTGGCTTGCCAGGGTAGATATGTATATACGAGTGCCGAAACTTCTGACATCTGCATAAAGAATACTGAGAGGTATCAAAGTATCTATAGGTGCTGTGGGGGATTCGTGAACAAACAGCATATGCCATTAGAAGGAGTTGAGCCAATAGCGCCACTGCATCCATCTCTGTCGTAGGACCCAAATCCCCAAAGTCAACGCTGTTAGGGGTATCGCAAATGCCCAATAAACCCAGAACCTCTCCGATACTGACCACTTGCCTGCCTTGTCATCTTGAGGCGGCGTGTAATTGAAAAAGCTCATGCTAAAAACAGCCTATGTATGGTTAGCTAATATTTGCCATTGGCGTTGAGAACTCCCACAGAAATAAATGTCGGCGGCAGGAAGAACATGGTAACTACAGCGATAGTTCTCATCGCACCGCTGTCTTCTTTTGCTGCTGCCCCGAGTTCCTTCATGATCTGACTGTCACGCTGTGTGGCCATGTTGAAAGCCTGACAACACGTTAGTAACATCGTTTTTAAAGAAGAAATATCCATGCCTTACATATACATTCTCATTTTGCACCCTCTCTTTGTTTGATTGGGCTCGTAGGTGAAGGTTTCGAAGCATGCGAACCTGGAAGTCGAGTCGTTTGTTGATCGACTCAGCTAAATCTTGTACATCGCACGGCATCGACGGTGATCGCATCGATTGGCTTGCGATTTCGTGCTGGATGCTACTTAGAGTATTAAGTGCCGCCTCAAGAGTCTCTGACGAGTGGATGGCGTGTCTCGTTGCTTCGTAAAGCAATTCAGATTGGGTTATGCCGCGAGTTGAATGCGTACGATTCTAAGATATGTTGTGTTAACCCTAGGCGTAACATTCGTAGAGACAATGTAGCTTACCTTTTCGGCTTGTCGCACGATATCTCGCATCGACCATACCGATTGATCGTACTTTATAATAAGAACCTCTATCAGTGGTACAAGCAAGCAGCCAGGCTGTGATCCTTGTATATCAGGCCATATTTGTTGTAGCTTTTCTTGCAGACAGCTTCTGAATGAAGCATCTACTCCCAAGCACAAAATGGAGCAGCTCTTCGAATCCCACCGGTAACAAAATGTCATCTCATGCCAGTGATAGCGCATACCGCTGCTGTCATCAATGATCTTGATTTCTACGCGGAACCACATGTCTGTGAGAAGTCAGTTGAGTTGGTGCCTAATTTAACTTGCCCTCACAGCATGATTCGCGCTGGCCATTTTGACCTCGCGATTCCTTGAAAGCAAAGAACCCATTGGAGCGCCTATATGTGACGGCCAGGAGATACTGGGGTATTTGAAAATATCGAATCAGCTCCGACTGCAATTTTCCGCTGCCACTGTAGGAAAATGGATCGTCCTGTATAAAACTGGGATCTGGTCAATGTCGATCGTAACTTTCTGGGAGAACGACAAAGTACAGATACTGTTTTTCGGGGTCATCTTGATCCTATTCAAGTGTTTAGCGTGGTATACAGGAGCGCAAAAGAAGTATCATACGCGGAGACAGTGATCCAATCGTTCAGTATGTGAGTTCCAGCATCCGGCGGCTAGGCAACAGTCAATTCATTTCTTATAAAGTATAAGGAACACTCTCACATAATCTCATTAAATCAATCGTATTCATTGGAGGCCCACGAGAGTTTGACATGCTTGCGGAGAACATGAAGATAGAATGCCACTTGCTCCAGTCAACCTGTTATAAATATGCCAAGGCCAGCTGATGGGCTATGCCACCACGAAGCGCCATACCAGCGAATGCGCAAAAGATGGTAGATGCATGGGAAAACCGGTCAGTTATGGATGCGCATCCATGGTGTGCGAGGCTGCCCAATGAACGACTCGGTAGTCTTCTTCGCCTGCTAGCGCTGATGGCGCAGCTATCCTTACTACCAACCACAGCCTCGGTGGCCATGTCGCCTTCTGCATCACGCTCCTGGCTATGCGCAATGCGCCTTTCAGCTCGCCAAGAGATTAGCCGTGGGCTGGGCAATATACTGGATACTTGTTGCGACGGGTTCCGCGTCTGTTGGATTTCTGTGTTCAACTCTTTGCATTGTTGTTTGTTCCCCACTACTACTTCGTCACAGAGTCACGTCCATGATTAATATCCTCTACTAGTAACTTTCGCAAACCAATGTATCTTTAAAGAGAATTTCCGGAACGAAATGAAAGCAAATGCCACGCCAGCCTCGCCGCGAAGAGTACACTGTAGGATGGGTATGCGCACTGCCCATCGAGTCCGCAGCGGCAAGATCGATGCTAGACGAAAAGTATGATGCCCCCGATCCCGAACCAGGCGAGAAGTGGGATGACATATATTTCACGGGTTCGATCGCCGGCCACAATGTTGTTATCGCTTGCCTACCGGGGCGTACTGGGACGAATTCCGCAGCTACGTTGGCAACACGGATGCAAGCCAAATTCCAAGGAATCAGATTTGGACTCATGGTAGGCATCGGTGGAGGTGTACCAGGCGGGCAAGCAGATATTCGACTTGGAGATGTTGTTGTCAGTGCACCACAAAAGACCTTCGGAGGGGTAGTCCAATACGATATGGGAAAGACGACACCAACAGACATCATAAGAACAGGAAGCTTGGACTCACCACCCCAGATCTTGCTTAGTGCAGCAGGCGCACTAGAATCTGACGCTTTGATCGGCGAGAGCAAGCTGCTCAGCATACTCTCAAAAACCCAGCACATCCCTTCTTTGCGGCGGTGTGAATCCAGTACAGATGTGCTGTACGATGCATCCTACAATCACGGAAACGATCCAACTTGTGAGAATTGTTGTTCCGATAAACAAGTGGTCCGGTCCCAGCGCAGAAGAGGAGAAGAAGTGGTAGTGCATCACGGAACCATCGCATCAGGCAACCAAGTGATGAAGAGCGCTGCTGAAAGGGACAAGATTAGCCAAAAACTCGGTGGTGTTCTATGCTTCGAGATGGAGGCAGCCGGTCTCATGAACAGCTTCCCCTGCCTTGTCATCCGTGGCATCAGCGACTATTCAGATTCGCATAAAAACGACCAATGGCATGGTTACGCCGCCGCAACTGCAGCTGCCTATGCTAAAGAACTTCTTTCAAGGATCCCACCAGCTCATGTGATGAGAACCGCAAGGGTAGAAGATGTGATTAACGACACGAGAAGTTAGTGTCAAAAGCCTTTCTTTTTTCGCATTCACAGCTCGTAATAACGTTGTGACAGAACGCGACTCACGATCTTCAAGCCCCGCTTTTGAGTCTTCGAAACGTAGGAAAATCGAGGGCCTTGGTGCTCAGGTGCCTGAGCTCGAAGAGTGAGTCTGGGACACTTATAGTCAGTTGTGCTTTGTGCACATAGCTAATATTTCCAGGCGGGGACTCGTTGTATGTATGTACACTTACAACCACTGCCATCCGATAGGATTTCAACTGATTGATTCAGTACAGGAACGAACCCGACAGCCACTGAAAGAAGCTCGATTCCATCATCCGCAAAATGAAGACCCAACACGCGGGGCATTGAGCGACGAGCAGAAACAACAGCTTCTAAAGTCTCTGGAATTCGACCAGATTGACGAACGGAAAAACACGATCAAAAGGGCTCATACGAAAACATGCAAATGGCTTTTACAAAGCGCGCCCTATCTAGATTGGCTTGAAGTTGCGAAGAGAAGCGAGCACCACGGATTTCTGTGGATCAAAGGGAAAGCTGGAGCAGGAAAATCCACGCTCATGAAGTTTGCTCTAGAAAGAGCGCCCAAAGAAGTACAAGGCAGCTCGACACTGTCTTTCTTCTTCAATGCACGGGGAAAGGCAATGGAGAAGTCTACAACAGGAACCTATCGGTCATTGTTACTGCAGCTTCTTACGAGATTTCCAAAGTTGCAGAACGTCTTTAGCTTGCTTTATTCATCAACAGTAGACTTCGATGAAAATCGCGAGTGGAGTATGGAATCGCTCAAGATGCTTCTCGAAGAGGCTATCCTGATGCTCGGGAAGGCTCCCGTCATATGTTTCATCGACGCGTTAGACGAATGTGACGAAAGAGAGATTCGAGACATGATCCAGTTTTTCGAGCACATTGGGGACTTGTCAACAGAAAGGGATTTGCCCTTCTTTACCTGCTTTTCTAGCAGGCACTATCCTCATATCACTATTCGCAAAGGACTCGAATTGGTGTTAGAAGGGCAAGAAGGCCACAATCAAGACATTATCAACTACATTGGAACTGAGTTGAAAATTGGAAAGAGCAAAAAAGCACAGAAGATCAGAGACGATGTTCGAGAGAAGGCAGCGGGTATCTTCATGTGGGTCGTTTTGGTTGTTGGCATTTTGAACAAAGAATCAGATCAAGGCCGTGTGGATCGGCTCCAACAAAAATTGCACGAGATTCCCAGCGACTTACACGACCTATTTCGCGATATTCTCACCCGAGACTCAAATAACAAGGAGCAATTAGTCTTGTGTATTCAATGGGTGCTCTTTGCAAAACAGCCACTCAGTCCCGAGCAGTTATACTACGCTATATTTTCTGGAATCGATCCTAGTGCTGTATCCGCATGGGACCCCGACGAAGTTGATCAAGATTCAATCAAGAGGTTCATACTTGATTCTTCAAAAGGCCTTACTGATATTACTGCCTCCAAAAATCAAAAAATTCAATTCATACACGAATCGGTCAGAGATTTCTTGCTCAAAGAGAATGGACTAGCAAAAATCTGGCCCGAATATCAGCACAACTTCTTGGGCCAAAGTCACGACAAGCTTAAACTGTGCTCCTGGGTTTACATCAAAGTTGTCCTAGATAAGTCACCGGACATTCTCCATTTTCTCCACGAACAATCTTCAATGGCATCGAAAGAGCTACGTCTCTCAATGGAAAGGCAGTTTCCACTTCTTGAGTACGCTGTCCACAGCATCTTCTACCATGCAAATTTGGCAGAACATCACCACATTTCCCAGGCGACATTTTTGGACGAGTTCCAGCTTGCAACCTGGGTTCTGCTGGATAATCTGCTGGAGAACTTCAAAATTCGTAAGCATCAGCATACCGTCAGTCTGCCGTATATTTTAGCCGAACTAGACTGCGCCAATCTCATCAAGTCTCACGTTCCGCTCAGTAAAGTTCTAGATATCACAGAAGAGCGCTATGGCTGCCCTTTGTTCGCTGCAATTGCCCTTGGAAACGACGCAGCGATTCGAGTTCTCTTGACGGCAATTGAGTCAGCACCACCCCAAACAGATACAAACCGTGAACAGTCTGATTATCATACGGAATTGATTACTTCCATTCGAGACAGTCATCGGAATTTTGTTTACGTGCGGGGAAAAAGCTTCTTATTCAACGCAACACAGATATGCCCCGAACAGGTCATTACTCGACTGCTTAAATTACCAATATGCAACCTTGAATCATCACGTTCTGATATTCAGCAAATACTACTTAAAGCTTCGAGTCGGGGCTACGAATCTGTTGTTAAGTTATTACTTGACAACCAAAAACTTATCTACGACTTGGTGCCTTCCTCACTAGACATAGCGCTGCATGAGGCAGTGGCGATCGGGAATGAGCCAATCGTCAAAATGCTTGTCCTTAAAGGGGCCAATATTGACGCACGAGATGAGGTCGGTAGAAACAAAATCCACATAGCCTCATCAAAAGGGTTTGAGAGCATTGCGATGTTCCTCTTGGATATTCGCTTAGATCTTGTTAACAGCAAAATCCTGGATAGATATACTCATTTCCAGGGCATAATTGCAGATCAGCGTGGATATACCCCCCTCATGTACGCAATTGAAAATAACCATGGATCACTTGCTCTAAAATTAGTTCAGAGAGGGGCTAACATTCACTTAGCATCTAAGAGCTGTATTCAAGTTCTTAGCTTGGCTTCTGCCACTAACAATAGAGAACTCATAAGGCTTCTTCTGGACCAATGCGCTGAAATGGGACCAATACCGGGACACCAACCTATGACATTGCAGGCAGCTTGTGGGGCGGGTCACAGGCTTATCGTAGAGTTATTGCTAGAAGGAGGCGCTGATGTGAACGGAAAGGGTGGTTATCACGGCACTGCGCTTCAGCTAGCTTGTTTTAGGAACTATGGAGATATCGTAGAGTTATTGTTAGAAAGAGGCGCTGATGTGAACGCAAAGGGTGGTGAATACGGTACTGCACTCTACGCAGCTTGCCGTAGAGGTGTTAAGAATATCGTGGAGTTATTGATAGAGATAGGCGCTGATGTGAACGCAAAGGGTGGTAGATACGGCAGTGCACTTCAAGTAGCCTCGTGGTTTGGCTACACGGAAGTTGTGGAGTTGCTGATAGCAAATGGGGCCAGACAGGACGAAAGAGGGCCTTGAACAGATTCAGCTTCTGGATGCGCTGTCGCTCTCCTTGATTCGCAAACCTTCTCTTCCACTACTTCACCAGAATTCACAGCAATAGCTACTAAAATTCAAATCTTCATTCTCTATTTCACCTGCATGTCCTAGAAAACAATCAACGTCATTCTCTGATCACACCAACCCCATACCATAGAAGAGCAGGAAGTGGAGACCGCATATATCAAAATATCAATCAATGTGTTAAATAACATCGGTAGCAGGTTTTCCCATACGGGCATACACTTACAGCACCATCACCAAAACTCTTCATAATAACTCCACGAACACCACTCACTTGCAAGCCTCACGCATACGCACAGATATATATATATATATATACAGCACATACACTCCATTGCCTATAAAGGTACACAAGAATGCTACATGTACACAACAATCACAACCACAGTTCCTCCCAACTCAGCCTACACAATCTTTGTATAGCAAAGCCAAAAGCCTCCAAAAGAAGAACAAGAAAACGAACCCAAAGGGTACAACATACACATACATGCATACCCTCAATCTTCCCCCTTTCTGACCTTTAAAAAACGGCCGCCTTAAAACCCCCTTAAAGAAGTCTAGCGTATCAAAACAAGAGGGTGATGCATACAAAAGAAGAGACATCTATACGCACGAACATGAAAAAAAGGCGGAGAATAGGAAAACCGAAATGGGGATAGAAGATTGACGGTACACTTGGACAAGAGAAAGAAAATATTGAGGAAGAGAGAGAGAGAGAGAGAGAGATGTAGGAAGAGGAGTACACATTTACCCCACAAAGGAGGTAAAAAGAGAATCAATAGATAACAAGGGGTACTCACCCTATCCACCATGCATTGGTATCAAAAAATGAACCCTACTAAAAAAAAAGACTGTGCGAAACAAATACAAAGAACAGAGGTTTTCAAAACGATAAAACAAGTAAAAGAACGCCTCACCCACATATTCCCCTTCCATATTCCCCAAAGATTGATCCACCCAACCCTACCCCCACAAGTTTCCTCGCAAAACCCCATCCCGAAAAAGGGAACAGAAAAAAAAGATTTCCCTCCAGAGTGATATCATTTAGAGCCCCGCCCCCCTCGCCAAAAAAAACAAGAGAACAAAAAAGATTTCAAAACGGCCGTTGGACTATCTATGGAAAGAAATTTTTTACATCACTGACTAGATGACAGAAAAGAAAAGACGAAGCAGAAGATGAAGACAGAGAATCAAGAGGAACAGAATGGATACGTAAAAGCGAAAAGACAATGCCTTCCCAGAGTTTAATGCGACCCACTCGTCACATTCGGAAAAGCAATCTGCGGCCAGTGGACTGGGGCAGGATGATGCGATTGTGTATGCTGATTATGGGAATGGTGTTGTTGCTGTTGCTGGTGGTGGTGATTATGATGATGGTTCTGAACACCAGATGTTTGGACGAGGCCCTGGCCATCGCTGCTGGTGCCATGGGAGGAAGATGCATCGCGGCCCAGCGTCATGAGTGTGGTTGCAGTGTTGAGGTATTCACCAGGCTGTTGTTGTTGTTGCTGGATTTGGTCGTGGGCATGTTGCATATACGCTCTTGTCCATTGGGTCCACTCCTGGGCGACGTAGCCGTTAGTTGTGTAGGTAGGCTGTTGGTGGGCCGTGTTGGCCATGTGAGCGTGTGAGTAAGCATAAGCGTCTGCAGGCGCTTGCGAGATGGCGCTGTTTGACGATGCGGCTGCAGCGGCAGCGGCAAGTGCCGCAGCGTGATTTGGGTTCATACTCGCTTGGTCCCCACTATTGTAACTTTGCTGGTCGTAACCTCGATTTGTTTGCGAAGGGACGCTGACTTGAGTGTTGAGGTTGTATGAGTGTGCAGTGTTGATGGGCAGAGTCGTGTATGTTGCAGCATGCGACGATAGAATAGGATCGGTAGGCCCGCTAGTTGTTGTGGCGTACTGATCCTGGTATGAGCTTTGGTCGTATACAGAAGAATTAGACTCTGAACGGACGGGAGCCTGCATGGCAACGCGGGCAAGGGACTCGGTTGCCGTTCGCTTGACGATGCTGTCATTGATCTTGCTGAGCGACTGATCCACGATTCTCGAAATGGCTAGCTTCAATCGATTTCCCGAGCCTAGGAACTTGTCACATTCGCCAAGGAGATCCACCCAGGATGCCATGTCGTCTTTGAGCTTGGTCATGTCCGACGGGGTCATTTGATCTTGGCGCGTTGTTGAAATGAAGAGCGTGGTAAATGCAGCAGCAATGTATATGACTGTGTTGACCCAGGGGATATCCAGACTCTTTTTGTTCATCAGTTCGGTGCAGTGGTGCAGTATTTTTTGCGATGCATGTAAACACTGGTCGAGGTTCGAATTGAGAATGGCTGCATCGGTTGATCTGCATACGCCGGGATGATGCAAGAGCAACATGTACGAATGATACCAGTATTGCAAATAGAGCGAGAAGATATAATCATCATCGGCAGCCTGCGACGGATCGCGTAACTCATAAGGCATCTCATCCTTCCACTGCCTGATACCAGCTGCGAGGCGTTTCAAGCTCTCGAGGTATGCCTTTTGCGAATATCGGACAGCATAGATTGTCTTGTACAGCTCGAGATCCCAGACCGTGTACTTTGCAATCTGAATGCCAACCTGAAATGAACACTGGTGGAATGTGTCCAGATTTGCCTCTTCGCCAGGCAGACAGTCGTTCATGGGTTCTGGAAACTCGACATCAATATCTTCGTTGCTAACAGGCATTGGACGTCCTAGTTTTCCATTGAGATTGATCTGTATGGCGTGGAGGGTCCAGAAGACGCGCTTCCTCATTTCAATGTCCAGCTTGGTCAGCTCACCAGTGCCGTCTTCCCAGACCTTGACGGAGCGGTGTAGGCCAAGCTGTACGGCGAACAGATAGACGATCGAGGTCATGATCCATGCAGCGCCGGGCTTGGGAAAGGTGCGTAAATGATGACATATCATTGCCAATGCTTGGACGTCTTGCCAACCATGTTCGCCGAGGACGAGTTGCTTGAAGAAGGTCAGGGCATACTTGTAGTGAGCATGGGCACTGTCGAGCAAGGTACTGCCACCCTGGTCGCTGTTGCGAACGGCTATTTGGTACATGATGGTGGCGAGCATCATATGGACTGTTACTGTCTCGGGTCCTGTTGGGGTAAAGCTGGGGTCGTTTCCTATCCTCCAAATCTACGTTTGTCAGTAGGCGTCCAGGAGCAAGGTGGAGACGGGGTGCGGAGGTACCAATTGCATAAAGGCGGGCTTGTGAACCAGCATGGTGTATGGGTTGATGGAGCGCATGTACCAGATGGCGTACTCGTTGAGCTCGTTGTAGGGCGGCAGCTGGGGTGTTTCGACAGGGTGGTTGCCCATGGCGATCTTGACGAGGGTCGAGTAGGACGTGGCTTCCTTCTCGTATTCGGTCTCGGCGGCGGTAAAGTCAGTAATGTCGATGTCGGTGCCAAAGATGGAGAGCGAGGTGCCCTTGATGTGGCTCAGCGGGGATTGTACAGAGGCGACGCCGAGGTAGTTGTCGCCAATGGAGCCATGCTTGAACTGGGGGAGCAGTTCAAGTTTGGAAGAGGCGGTGGTGGCAGGCGCATAGCCAGGCAGTGGGGAGGAGCTTGTTCGGCGGGGGCGGCCATCGGACCAGGGCGATGCGTCGCTGGCAGCAGAGGGCCATGGGTTTGAGGGCTGTTGCAATGCAGCGCCGTAGGCAGGAGGTAGGCGGGGCTCGACACCGTTCTCTTTTAGCTGGGCCTGCAGGTCTGCAATTTGGGCGCGCAGGTACGAGTTCTCCGACTCCATGGCCTCTGCATGGCCGCGGACAGTGGCGCGTCCAGTGATGCGGTCGGTGGTGCGGCAGGGCGTCCTGTTCTGCTCGCAGGGCGTGCAGCCCTCGGGGCGGCCATCGCAGCGAATCTTGCGGACCTTGCAGCGGTCGCAGGCCTGGCCGGTCCGCTTGGAGTCGGCCAGCTTCTTCTTGACGGAGCCGGAGAAGTCATTTGCGACATTGCTGTGGGCCGGGGCGGACGAGGGAGGGGCATTGGCGGTTGCGGAGGCAGCAGTGGCAGCGGCAGTGGTGGTGATGATGGTGTTGTTTGTCGTGGCCGTGGCGGGGGCGCGGTGCTGGGGACTCAGCGGGGCGTGGAGGTGGACGCGCTGGATCTTGCTGACGAGATTGGGGTCGTCGTCGGCAGGTCGCTTGCTCGCCATGGTTGGACGTGAACTCGGCGGAGAAAGCCGGTGGGAACGACCGATGGGCAGTCCCCAGAACGAGCCTTGTGTGGCTTGGGGCGATCACCTGTCAGACAGGCAGGCTGCACGCTCGCATAGCCGCGCGCCCACAGTCAGTTTGGCAGCACCAGAGGGCGATGTTGCTGGGGCGTCTGAGGAGAGGGGTGAGGGGCTTGGGAGGGCGCGTGTGTGCAATGCTTTAAGCGGGCAGCGCAGAGGGCGAGGTGAGGGTGCACTGCGGTGGGAAAGTGAATGGCCGCCGCGATGCCCTTGGTACAGTAGCCTCGGCGCCTCTTTGGTGCACACGGGCGGGCGTGTGCACAGCAACCGCCCTCGACCACGCACCGCGCCCCTACCATTGGCCGCCATCACCAGCGAACATACACGGCTCGGTCGCCGTGCCCTGATGCCCTGACAGCTTCGGCCCATTTGGCTGTGCTGCTGTGCCCTCGCCACTGCGCTGGTGATTTGCTGCCGCTAGTATGCAGCGCCCCAAGTATAGCCTTCCCAAACTGGCCAGCCGTCCTACTACTGTCGACTACCGCCCAACCCACCTTAGCACTGCTAACCACCATGGGCCTTGAGCCGCGAGATTACCACACACTACATACTTACTAGCCATGCCCATTAGCTACTTACTTACTCACTCTGCCGACAGCCTTATTCACCGCGCCCTGATACCCAACCCTGCACTGTCCCTCGCCGCCCTTCCACTCCCACTCCCACTCCCCCTTCCCGCCCGCTCGCCTGTCGTCGGTGGGGGTGCACACACACACACATATACTGCCCCGCTACCATATGTACGAAACAGCCTGCGCTCTGTTCCTTTTTGAAACTTTCAGCCACCGTCATCCACCCACTCACTCGTCTCCCCACCTCATAGTCCAACCTCCCCACCGCTCCAGTGCCCTGCTGCACATCAACTACCGTCCATCCCCCCAAGCTCTCCTACGACCATGGCGTCGGTGCGCACATTTCAGCTGCCACACTATCATGCCTACCCTGTCCACGTGGCCCTGTTCAAGGATGTCGCAAACGCCTCACATCTCAGGCGTCAGCTACTAGATGCCAATCCGCATTTCGACTATGCCTTTTTGGACGCGTCAATGGTACGGCCCTGTCTCCTTGCCCCGGACTTACCTTTTCCATCCTCTCTCTCTGCACCAGAACTACACGCACCCATCTTAGTGCTAGAAAAAGGGAAAAAAAAGGGGGGGAACAAAATGAGCGCCCAGACAAGACGAAAAAAAAGAAAGAAAAAGACTCACACGCAGACACACAAAAACACTGCACTGGCTCAGGCCACTTGTCGCGTGCGCCTGCCATTTGCACCTTGTCTCCGCGGATGCTCTTGCCTCGTCCATTCCCCTTTCTCCCCCTCACGTGGGTTGGTGACATTCCAGCCTGCACTAATCTGGACGGCCGGTAATGGTTCGGGCTTCGACACCCCTGCCGCACAACCACAACCAGCGCCTGGATCACCAAACGGTGTCGATGACCAGCATCCTCCTGGTGCTGCTTCAACGTCACTCCACCCACTGCCTGCTGGAGAACGGGCAACACCGCTCCGCGCCTATCACAACCCTCCCATCGTGTCCCAATGTCAACATAATCTTGCTTCCATTGAGTCTAATCGTCTTTTGCTGCCTACCTGCTACCTGCGCCGTTTACACCACTGACTCTTGACTAAAATAGATCATCTCACCCCAGCACCTCCTCTCCGCCACCTTTATTGCTCTCCACAACTTCTTGACTGAGCGAGCAAAGACGCGCACTCCACACTCGGAGCTCGTCTTTCGCCTCTCCCCCAACAACAACATTGGTGAATCCTACAAGAAGTTTGGCATCTCAGACTCGTCGACTGCAATCATTGCCGTCAAGTTACCCCTCTCTGCATCCGCTCCCCATGGTACCTACGTCAAGGATGAGTCCATCACAAATCAAACCGTGAGCGCCCATCTCGGCAGCGTTGTGCACGGGTCCAGCATCGAGATTGCCGACAACGGTCAAGAACTGGGCTCCTTCTGTCAACTAGACAAGGTCCGCAAGGTCTACAAGCTGGCCAGTGCTGACCGTGCTTCTCGAAGCAACACCACCACCAAACAAGCCAACGGGGACAATCACGGAAATGACTCTCAAGACGAAAAGGCCTACATCGAGAGTCTAGTCCTAGGAACCATGGCTCTCAAAGGATCCTGAACCGCTCATCAACCACTCACTCCCTGGTCTCAGGCCGGGCATATCACGGCTTACAGTCCGTGACTTGCTGACTGGCCCGCTGATCGTTGTTGCAACGCACAACTATACAATTATAGAAACACGCAACAACACATCACTTCACACTAGTGCATACGTTGAAACTTTAATAGTACTTCTCTCTCTCTGTCTCTGCGTGGCTCCCTCTAAAACCCCTCCCTTCCTATGCTACAGATTTCTCTCAGTCCTATAGATACACCCTGCACATGGGGAGAAAAAAATACGTCAGCTACATTTATAGCTCACGGTACTCGGGCTTGAGGAAGTCGGCCATGGTCTTGGGCCTTGGGTATGGGTTCTCATGGTGGTCGTGGTGGTCGTGGTGACCGTGAGCATCCTCTGCCGGGCCCACATAATGCATCTCGTACACGGAGCCGCACTCCATGCAACGTGACTTGGGCTCCTCGCGGGTGAGGGTGATCCACAGAACGTTGTGCGAGTCGGCGGGGCATCCGGTGCAACCAACATATTGCTCATCACCTGCAGAGTTGACAGTGATTGGGTTCTCCATGGTGCCTATAACTCAGTCAGCATCAATGCCACTCTCATCTAGGTACTTGTGTCTGCCTGCTGCTGCTCCACATTTGACCTTGCTTTGTTTCATCACGTACCGACACGGCTGGCATCCAATGGCCTCATGTCGAAGATGTCGATACCCTGCATCTTTCCGAGAATCTCGAGACGCTCCAGACCGGTAGATTGTTCCGCGTCCGTAGGCACAGTACCAGGCTTAGCACCCGGAGGGAGGAGATCCGCTTCTGACTTGATTTCTAAACGCCCAGTGCTCTCGTCAGCTATCGACACTTTTCCCACGCGGCATCCGCAACACTGCGGCTACCCAAGTGCGGGCGCGACATACCGTCGAGCTTCTTGAAGCCCTCGAGAACGCTGGGCGAATTGGCCGAGTGGCCAGTCTCCTTTTGCGCAATCTTGCTGTCGTCGCCTGCAATGGTGTCAATGCTACATCGTACGATAGCTGGTAGTCCCAAAACCTACGGCGGACAAAGGATGTCGTGAAAGTGCGCTGGGCGAGCGCGCGGGGGGCCGCCCGCCTTGCCGCGGCCATGGCAGAGCGTTGGAGAAACATGGCGAGAGCGATTGGGGTTGAGTGGAGAGGGTAGGCGTGGCTATCGAGCTTGCGAGTTCGTGATCGTGGGATTGCGTTCCGTCACGAGAGAAGCTTGGCTTTGCGCACTGCTTAGGTAAGGCCCAATCCGTCAAGCCACAGCAACTGAGCAGAGCCACCGACCCCATTGCAATTCCTTCTTTTGCAAATCATTCCATTGTCAACGGCGCGTTTTCTAGCCGCACATGCTAATAATCGTCTGCAGCACCATGCGCTATGCTGATTTGATCTTGTACACTAAAAAAACATCTTTTGACAAAGCCTTTTGCCGTGCTGTCCTCCGCCTACGCTTTGCATCATCGCAACGAACCATTGTGATCTCACCCCACCACTAGATTCTATCCCAATACTAACAATGTCGTTCAAACCCGCGCTAATCATCGTCGACGTACAGGAAGACTTTTGCCCGCCAGTAAGTCGCCCAACTCGCTTGTTGACCGTCGCTCACAGGCTAGAATGGAGCGCTGGCAGTGGCAGGAGGCCGCGACATAGTACCAGTAATCAACGAATGCCTCGACTATCCCTTCGCCTTGAAAGTAGCAACCAAAGACTTCCATCCGCAAGACCACATTTCCTTCGCCTCAAATCACCCACCGCCGAAGAACAAGCCGTTTGAATCTACAGTTACAATCGTAAACCCGCACAACCCGGAAGAAAAGCAGGAGACGCGATTATGGCCAGACCATTGTGTCCAGGGAACAAAGGGCTTGGAACTGCTGTCAGAGCTACACGTCAGCAAATTAGATCAGATTGTGGAAAAAGGCCAGGACAAGCGCGTCGAGATGTATTCGGCATTTGCGGATCCCTTCAAGAGTCCGTGTGTCGCCAGGAGCAGCCTGGCAGATACATTGCACAAGGCCAGCATCACAGACGTCTACGTCGTTGGCTTGGCAGCCGACTACTGTGTAAAACACACGGCCATTGATGCACAGAGCGAAGGCTTCAAGACATGGGTGATTGGTGAGGCGACAAGAGCGGTGGACCCCTCAGCCATGGAACAAGTGCACAAGGAGTATGAGGAGCACGGTGTCAAAGTGATAAGCACGAGCGATGCGCAAACGCTCAAGGTCAAGAACCTGCCCAGGAAAACTCAGGAACAAAGTGCGAAGAACGCAGACCAGGCTGGCGAGAGTGTGTTGGACTAAGATAGCCTCATCGCACTCTCCACTAATATACCCAGGCATACTTACACTTGTTAATTTCTCTTTCCTTTATAGGAAAATATAAGCAGCCGTGCGCCAATTTTGGATACGACCTGCGTCAGCAAAATAATGCAAAGACAACCATGGTTGGGAACCAGTGGCAGAGGGTGCAACTGCCGCATCGTTTTGTCCATATTCCCTTCTGTCGGTTCCGCCGGAAGCACACAGGGGTGGACATCCATGAAGCATCCACAAAATCTCCACCGTTTCGCACCCGAGCGTTCCATGGAACCGCTAGAACACGCATGTGATGTATACACATCCACTGGATACGTATCAGGGCTCACTTGCACCCAAGATATGCCTCTGTATCTAGCGATGCTGCCTGCGACCTTGGAACACGGCGGACGAGACAACTGCCCCGCTGTCGGCTCAAAGAAGCCAGCTTGGCTGTCGCTACGGTGCAAGTCAGCTGAGTGTCCAGATATTGTTCATGCAGTGTCACGCACATCTTTTGAGCCCCCTCATTGCTTGCACATTGGCTCTTGATTGCTCGTTGTTGATGTTTGCCCTTTGTTGTCAAACCTGTGTCGTAGCGCGGGGTCGCTAGTTTTTGTGAAGCCGCCCCTCTCGTCATTGCTGTGAGCCCTGGACTAGTAGAGCTCCCCCACGCCCGCACGCGCCCTAAGCACCAAGACAAGTTCGATCGGGGCGTTGCCAGGCTGCCCAAAGCCTACATTTCCTTTTACCCTGTTGGCCTATTCCCTCACACCTACTCCCACTCTCAACAACCAGTAGCCAACATGCCACATCTACCTGGCGTTTCCAAACATCGGCGGACGTCCCTTACAAGTGCGTCATACCCCGGCCACCGCTTGTACCGAGTCTTCCGAACAAATTTCTGCCAACGACCTGACGCTGACGATCGAGTGAACATCTAGGCAGTCGCGGCTCCTCTATAGACGAGACACGGCGACATGATGGCGGCGAAGATGTCACCAAAGAAGATGAGACCATCATAGACCCGGAGCAGGGCAATAGTGCGTCTTCCGAAAACGCTGCGAGGCTGGTTGTTACACTGGACACTGGCTAACACGACAACACCCAGTGCTCACCCATATTATATCACAACTGCGGCCCGGTGCCGATCTGAGCAGAGTCACACTGCCTACTTTTATCCTCGAACCGCGGTCGATGCTGGAGCGCATAACAAAGTGTGTACTAGGCTAAATCTCCAAAGTCGGCAACGCATGCTGACTGACAGGATAGTTTCATGGCACATCCGGAAACGCTGCTTCCCATTACCAAGATCGAGGACCCTGTGCAAAGATTTGTAGCTGTGACAAAGTTCTATCTCAGTGGATGGCACATCAAACCCCCGTATGCATACCCGCAATCATGACCCGCCCGTACGCAACAACTGATGTGAGTGTAGTGGAGTCAAGAAGCCGCTCAACCCCATACTCGGCGAGATATTCACCGGCTATTGGGACTACTCAGACGGTACCAAGGGATACTACATTGCCGAGCAAACGTCACACCATCCACCAAAGTCGAGCTATTTCTTCATGGCGCCTGAACACCACATACGCATTGACGGAACTCTCAAGCCCAGGAGCAAGTTTTTGGGAAACTCTGCTGCGAGTATGATGGAGGGCATTGCGATACTGCGGCTCTTGAACACTGGTGAACGATTGTGAGTCGCCGTAACAGCCTTTGCATCTGGGAGGCTCATGAGATTATAGCTTTGTCACACAACCTAACATGTATGCGCGGGGCATTCTTTTTGGAACCATGAAATACGAGCTTGGCGACCACGCTTATATTCGCTGTCCCGAGACTGGACTAAGTGCCGACCTTGAATTCAAGACCAAGGGCTATTTTAGCGGAACATACAACGCCATTGGTGGCTTCATCAAGGATGCGAACGGCAAAAACTTGTTCGAACTTTCCGGCCAATGGAACGAGGAAATGTACATTAAGGATCTGACTGTAAGGATTTGTTGTCTTGGATTACAAGAACTGGCTAACTTTTGCAGACTGGCAAGAAAGAGCTATTGTTTGACGCCGCACATACTAAGCATACGCCACCCAGCGCCCGCCCTCTGGAGGAACAAGACGAGCGAGAGTCACAGAGGCTGTGGCATGAAGTGACAGAAGCCGTGAAGCGGAGGGATCAGGATGTTGCGACGGATGCAAAGGCCAGGATCGAAGACAGGCAACGTCAAGAAGCCGCAAAACGAAACAGTGAGGGTGTCGACTGGCACCCGCAACTCTTTAGACGCGTAAGGGGCGGTCACGGCGGGAGCGAAGAAGGCGAGGAAGACTTGGATTGGATTATCAACGCCAAGATGTTCGTATTCAATCTTTTTGTGCTCGATTTAATCTGACAAGACACAGTGATGGAAAGACCCCGGAAGAGGTGGTCAAACAGATCTTGCAAATCCATGCCATACTCCCCGGTCAGAAGCCCGACAAACAATTCAACATCCCTTCACGGACATCGAGTATCCATCGAACTCAAACAAACGAGTCTACTCAGCACGTTCAACAGGTGCCTACTGAGCAGGTGCAACCCGCACAACCCGCAGAAATAGCACAGCATCAGCAACAGAGCGTAGGTTCTCCCAGCAACTTCGACGGAACAACGGCTCATGCCACGCCCCCAATTCACA